AATATAAGGTCAATGTCAGAAAAATATTAACTTTTTTGTATGAGGCTGAGAAACTGGAGAAGGGCAAAGTTTAACCGAGCCCTTCTCCAGTTTTGTGCCGAATACAAAAAAGTTTATGTTTTTCTGACTTTGACCTATATATTGTATATTTATACTGCAACTAGTTGTGTTTATTTCCTAAATATATATTTCAGAGGACAGACATTTTTTTTCATATGAATTTTCACTCGTCAGTATTATTTATTAACGTTTTGATTTTTTTAACATATTTAAAGTTATTATTTGGAAGAAGATCACTTGTATATAGTAATCTATCATTTTTTAAACGAACGTATCAAGTATTGACCTCTCGAGATAATGCTGACATAAAAATGCTAAAAGTTGCCTTGAAAGGCTATAGAATTGTACATCTGACCTTTTTAAAGTAATTTTACAGTTTATTTACAGTTTTATATACATGGTTTCACTCCTGACTATACATGCTATTTGAATTTTCTTAAAAAAGCACACACAAAAAAGTTTTCATTGTTGCAACCAATTAACCAACATCACTATTACAATGCCGCAAACAAATTTGGTATTAGACGACAGGCAATAAACACATTATAGTGCATGCTTTAGAAAGAAAGTTTATATATATACATTCTTTGAATCCGACAAATTTTTAAGTTCAGATTTTAAAATCGATAGTGATTCTTTTTTTCGTATGGATAAATCTATTGTTTTTGCTTTGTATATGAGTGATACCTAACATCCACGCATTCTAACATCTATCTAAATCCCGAATGCAAACAAATCTTATTCGGAAGATTCCATATACATAGTGTTTAATTGTTATTATATTACAATATAATGATAAAAAAGATACTAGTATTACTAGACTTGTAATAGCTTACACCAATTCTACATAATTTAGTGTTTCGGCGGTTTTTGTATCATATACTCAAGATAAATGTATTACATTTATGAATGGGTTTAAGCATTGTAAGCCCGCCATCATCAGGAATTCACCTATAATATCATTTCAATTTTGTCGACGTTAATAAATCGGCTATATTTTTATGCTTTTTATAAGCTATTATTGGTTTGACCGAAAATATTTCTTTGCAAACCTGATCATGCTTGAGTAGATCCCTATGTTCAACGCAGCGAGAAAATCCCGCACCCGGAGGCGTGATTCAGCTGGTCCCTAAACAATATTGATATTATTTTTTCAGTTCAAATTTTAATATAAGAGTGCTATGAAAATACAGGTGCTTGTACATGCATGGAAAACGCAATTCAAACAATAAAAACAAAAGAAATATTTATTGTATAGGTTATAATCAGGATTCACTAAAAAGTTCATAACAATGTTTAGTGTCGTTTGGTCTACCATATGTTATGGAAGTATACTTTACAAAAATAGACTTGTAGTAATATATATACAGTATATCATTAATTTTCTCTTGTTATGCATGATGTTTAATTTACATTATTTGTCATGTTGTATATGTCATGTATGCTGTACAGTTGGATTACGCAATATCATATTTATGATATGTGCTTTATCCAATAAAATATTTGATTTGATTTGAAATAACTCACTGAACATATGTAAAACTGACTTGAAATTTCGTAAAATATAGTGCTGTGTTGCAAAAACTGAACGTTTTCTTCCAAACACAGCAAAGTGCTTGGCGTTAGCTAATTGAAAAGCGCGAAACTTCCTTAGGACGTGACGTGAACACCATTATGACGTGATGTGATGTCATATAAATAACGTTATTTTTTGAAAAAATAAACATCTTGGCTTTATACATGTATACCTTAGTAAATCTTCAATTAAGCAAGGTAACGTGCTGCTATACAAGATTGAATAACAAATACTGTTTATGTTATTTTGTACTGAAATTGACCCGTTTCTGGACAGTTTTTTGAAATTTCGCTCCGCACTAAGAGGGTCTAATAAGCGGACTTCACAACAGGTGGCAATGTTTTTGAATGACCGAAAAAAACACACAAAAAAAACACACAAATAAACTGTTAACACAGAGATATGTCTCGCCTATTTGTTATTTTGATAATGCAAATGTTGAAATTAAAATAGCAATACTTTAACATGTAAGTTATGCAAATATTCAAAGTCAATGAACCATGACTGAAGGTACAGGGCTAAACAATCTCCATGGAAATGAGATGTGCCAATACTAATACAACTGTATACCAAATACCACTGAAATCTCACAAGTCGTTCCTTTTAAACAAACACAAACATTAACTTGTAAACTATGTAAAAGTTTCAGAGTCAATGAACCATACTGAGGGTGTGGGGTTATATAATCTCCATGGAAATGAAACTTGCAAATGCCAATACATTTGCATACCAAATATCATTGACTTAACATTAGTGGTTCATCTTAAACTGACCTAATCACAAACTAATACATGTAAGTGAAGCAAAAGTTTCAAAGTCAATAGACCATGACTGAGGGGGCAGGGCCAAATAATCTCCATGGAAATAAGATATGCCAATGCTTATACAACTGCATACCAAATATCATTGACCTACCACTAGTGGTTCCCCATAAACTGACCTAATCACAAACTAATACATGTAAACTAAGCAAAGTTTAAAAGTCAATAGACCATGACTGAGGGGGCGGGGCCAAATAATCTCTGTGGTAATGAGATGTGCCAATGCTAATACAACTGCATACCAAATATCATTGACCTATTACTAGTGGTTCACCATAAACTAGACCTAATCACAAACTAATACATTGTTGACGACGCCGCCGCCGCAGACGCCGGAAACAGCATACCTATGTCTCGCTTTTTGACTCCGTCAAGGCGAGACAAAAAAAAACATCTGGGACTATTATACTAATTATATAATAGTCCAAGTTGATACCCTAGATATCTTTACCCCAAGTTTGGTTGAAATTGGTTCAGTAGTTTACGAGAAGATCTTTGAAAAAGTAAATCAGACGGTGGATGAGGACCACTTGGCGAAGACAGATGCCTAGTGATGGCTAAAAATCTGGTTGAAAAACTACAATTTTTTAAAAGCAATTTCTGAACCATGAAAATAAGGCCAAGGACAATGGACTTATGCATGACTGCACATCAGAACATCTTTATCACAGCTTAAGGTGGTACATATAAGTAAGATAACTCTGTAAAAATCAGCTGAGCGTTTTAATCACGTTCTATTGTTAATGAAATATTAAGCTTCTCAAAGATCAAAATTAGTGGGGGTAATAGTAATCAGTAATCGTAATCAGCTGTAAATAATTACATTTTGCAATGTAATCCCATATGCATGTAATTAGTAATCATGCAATTTATGATTACAAGTAATCATAATGTAACCAATTACAATGTAAAAAACAGATGTAATCATGATTACTTTTAGATTACTTTAAGATAACATTCGTTTTATTACTTGCTGATTACAATTTTTGTATATGAAAATAGTTTTTGATATACAATATAAAAATAAGAAGATGTGAAACATGAATGAAAAATGATTAAACTCTTAATAAGATGAATAAATTAAGGATTTAAAAAAAAAACAAATTTTCACAAAAATTAGCTTTTTTGTGAAGATAAAAAGATTATAAGAAATTCTTTAACATTACAATATACAATGTAATCATATTAAGTAATCCAAAGTACTCATGATTACTAAAGAAAAGTAATCTAATGTAATCGATTACATTTGAATTTAGGTGTAATTGTAATGTAATTGATTACATTAAAATAGCAAAGTAATTGTATAATTTAATCGATTACATTTTAAAGTAATCGACCCCATCCCTGTATAATATATCCAATGAAATTTTTCCAATAAAGTGTGTGGTTCAAGTTTTTTGAAATTTTTATATTTTTGTCAAAGGGTTAGAGTAAATATTTTGTCAAAATTTTATGAAAATTAAACGAGCCAAACTTATTTTAGTCAAGGTATTTGGTACAACCTTAATACAAGATATGGATTGTGTGACTTACTTGAGGAAACATAAAGTTTATAAAACTAAGTTTACTCCAGATAAGCAGTCTTATGTTTCCAAATGTTAGACATTTTTGTTGTTGCTGGCAATAATAAAATGATGTCATCTCTTTTGACTCAAAGTTTTACTCTCAATGTGGGTCGAGAGATGTGATCAAAGAATGAGACAGATCAGACTTGATCTTTTAATATATATACCCATATAGATGTTACATGCACATATGAATTTGTATAAATCTCTTGATCAAACTTGTTCCACTCAGTTTCGTTAAAACTTATTATTATTCAGAGCGATGTATTGTGTACCTTTGTGGAACAAAATTGACCACATGAAATTGGTTGGAATACCTGAATTAATCAGTTCAGATTTTGGTAATTCTAACTTTTTGGACAACATTTTAGCAATTTTAAAATAAATCCTCGCTTTTACTATCGTGTTGTGCATGTTGGACATCATGGGAGACCTTCTAAATAGCCTTCTGTTATATATTACAGGGGCTAGACAAACTTACTTTTACATGTATAAATATAAATATATTCATATTCTATAGGGAAAGATACACTGTCCCAACTCAGGGGCCTGTAATTCAGTTGTTCAATTGTTGCTGTTTGTTACTGTATATCATATTTGTTTTTTATTTGCTGTTTTGTACATAAATTAGTCTGTTGGTTTTCTCGTTTGAACTTCTTTTACATTTTATCATGTCGAACTATGCAGATTGTGTTTTGCTCATTGGTGAAGACCATACACCTATAGTTTGATAACTTTTACAACATGTGGTCTCCAGTAAGTAATTATCTCAGTGGCAATAATACCACATCTCCTTATTTTAATACAATGTAGATCTGTAATGTTTATTTGTAATAAAAGAATTTTGATCCATAAATTGTGATTTTTTACTAAAAAATTATTTAATCCCAACTAGATGTCCCATATCTTGTTCCTTCCTGCATGTACCAATAGCAAAATTACCTATTAGGATCTGATGACCAGAAATAAAAACCAAAGTTTTTCAAAATAATTTACTAGTTGGTAAAATGCTTGAAATGTATATAATAACTAGAGGCTCTAAAGAGCCTGTGTCGCTCACCTTGGTCTATGTGCATATTAAACAAAGGACACAGATGGATTCATGACAAAATTGTGTTTTGGTGATGGTGATGTGTTTGTAGATCTTACTTTACTGAACATTCTTGCTCCTTACTACTATCTCTATCTATAATGAACTTGGCCCGGTAATTACAGTGGAAAATACTTTGTAAAAATTTACAAAAATTTACAAAATTTATGAAAATTGTAAAAAATTGACTATAAAGGGCAATAACTCCTTAAGGGGTCAATTGACAATTTTGGTCATGTTGCCTTATTTGTAGATCTAACTTTGCTGTACATTATTGCTGTTTACAGTTTATCTCTATCTATAATAATATTCAAGATAATAACCAAAAGCTGCAAAATTTTCTTAAAATTACCAATTCAGGGGCAGCAACCCAACAACGTGTTGCCTGATTGGTCTGAAAATTTCAGGGCAGATAGATCTTGACCTAATGAACAATCTTATTCTCATCAGATTTGCTCTAAATGCTTTGGTTTCAGAGATATGAGCCAAAAACTGCATTTTACTCTATGTACTATTTTTTAGCCATGTCAGCCATCTTGGTTCGCGAGCAGGGTCATCGGACACATTTTTTAAACTAGATACCCTGTTGATGATTGTGGACAAGTTTGGTTAAATTTGTCTTAGTAGTTTCAGAGGAGAAGATTTTTGTAAAAAATTACAAAAATTTACGAAAAATAGTTAAAAATTGACTATAAAGGGCAATAACTCCTTAAGGGGTCAACTGACCATTTTGGTCATGTTGACTTATTTGTAGATCTTATTTTGCTGAACATTATTGCTGTTTACAGTTTATCTCTATCTATAATAATATTCAAGATAATAACCAAAAACCGCAAAATTTACGAAAAATTACCAATTCAGGGGCAGCAACCCAACAACGGGTTGCCTGATTGGTCTGAAAATTTCAGGGCAGATAGATCTTGACCTAATGAACAATTTTATCCCATCAGATTTGCTCTTAATGCCTTGGTTTCAGAGATATGAGCCAAAAACTGCATTTTACCCTATGTACTATTTTTTAGCCATGTCGGCCATCTTGGTTTGCGGGCGGGGTCATCGGACACATTTTTTAAACTAGATACTCTAATGATGATTGTGGACAAGTTTGGTTAAATTTGTCTTAGTAGTTTCAGAGGAGAAGATTTTTGTAAAAGATTACAAAAATTTACGAAAAATGGTTAAAAATTGACTATAAAGGGCAATAACTCCTTAAGGGGTCAACTGACCATTTTGGTCATGTTGACTTATTTGTAGATCTTACTTTGCTGAACATTATTGCTGTTACAGTTTATCTCTATCTATAATAATATTCAAGATAATAACCAAAAACGGCAAAATTTCCTTAAAATTACCAATTCAGGGGCAGCAACCCAACAACGGGTTGTCCGATTCATCTGAAAATTTCAGGGCAGATAGATCTTGACCTGAAAAACAATTTTACCCCAAGTCAGATTTGCTCTAAATGCTTTGGTTTCAGAGATATATGCCAAAATCTACATTTTACCCCTATGTTCTATTTTTAGCCATGTCGGCCATCTTGGTTGGTTGGCCGGGTCACCGGACACATTTTTTAAACTAGATACCCCAATGATGATTGTGGCCAAGTTTGGTCAAATTTGGCCCAGTAGTTTCAGAGGAGAAGATTTTTGTAAAAGTTTACGGACGACGGACGACGGACGACGGACGCAAAGTGATGAGAAAAGCTCACTTGACCTTTCAGGTCAGGTGAGCTAAAAAAAGAACACATCAGATCATTGCAATTGCTTAAAAATGTATACCACTTGCTAAATTTTAAATACAAATTAACTACTGTAATTCAAAAACATTGGTATGTTTATATCTAAAGAATATACATAAGTAGTCAAAATAAGTAAGTTGTAAAGTAAACTACTTTTGAAAAAATTCAGAGTTAATCTGTTGACACATAATTCAGAGTTAATCTGTTGACACATAATTCAGAGTTAATCTGTTGACACATAATTCAGAGTTAATCTGTTGACACATAATGTAGAATTAAACCAATGACAGACACAAGATTGCTATGTGTTTTTGAGTGTTGTATCATCGAAGTACATTTATACACTACATCTACTTGTAGTCTTACTGTAACTTATGTGTCATATACTTCTAGTTTACAAAGGAGCACCCTTTCTTAACATTTAAAATATAAATACATTTTCAAATTCTTTTAGCATTTTGTTAGAATAAAACTTTTGTATACTGAAATTTTCACTCAGGTAAACTTTGAAATAGCTAGCACTAAAATTTCCTGGTTATTCTGCAATTCTTTCAAGTAATAAATGGTTTAAATTCCTTTATTCATTGAGGAATTCACAAAAAAAACAGCCTGGTGTCTTTAAAATAAAATACATTAAAAAAGAAAACAAAGTATAAAATGGTTAGTTAGATATAGATGGTTTGCAACCTAGTTATAATATGGTACTAAGTTCCATTCAAATTTAAATTCAAGTTTTAAAAATAATTCATTTTAGAAACTGTAAAATGCAGAATATTGGAAAATTATCTATTTCATTCTATAATCAGGGGAGATAACTCAAAAGTTATTAAGGGAGATAATATACATTTGATACAGTGTTTGGTGTAAAATATCAAACTTTACAGATGCAAATAGTTGTACAGACAAAATATTTAACGTAACATTCAAATAGTTATACAATAAAATTATTCAAGTTGAGTATGAGGTTAATAAAAAATCTAAAACCCTAAAACCGATCACCAGATAAATAAACTGAATTAAAGTATTAGGTTAAAATGTAAACAAAAATAACTACCCCGGTAATCATACAAAAAATGAAAACTTTACTTTTATTCTTTATTCATTCTTTTATTCTGTAAAGCAGTTAGGCCAACTAAAATTAATTGGTAGATTTTCATCCAGATTTTTGAAAAAAATGGGGCGGGTGGGAGGATTTAATTTTTTAATTTTTATTTCCTCCTAAACCCTTTTGTGACGTGTTGTTCATATACAAAGGTAAAAATAAGCTTATATCATTTTTATATAAGGAATTCTACACTATTTTTCAAATTCTTAAATTAAATATTATGATTGGCAACTAATTGCCGCTTTAGAAACCTATTTTTAGTAAATAGCAAAAACGTGGAAAAATGTTCTCTTTTAGACTACCTAGATCAAATGTATCTTGCTTTCTAAGCTATGATTTGTAGTGCCCATAAATTGAAGCATATGCATTGGTATGCAACACAAATATTATGAGTACAGAGTGAAATGAAAACTAAAACTGTCAGTGTTGAAAATACTAGGTCAAGATTCTTAAGCAAGGTGCAAATATAATTACAATGTAAAACATGAACTGAACCAAAAAGAAGTTGTTTAATAACTCTATCGAGGGGAAGGGGACAGATGGTGTTTGCTGTTTTTCAACAAAAACGACAGCCTTGGGGTAAATCTAAGGGCTTGCTATAATACATTTTGTACATTGGCCAACGCTATGTACTCAATATACGGTCATAAAGTTCGTGCTTGTGTCAATTACTTTATTCTAGTCATGTTTTTGTACCAATGTATTTCACGATTCTTGCACAATATTCACAGTCCAAATTTCTTGACACAAAGTCATTGTATAAATAAAAAATCCACGGTTTTCTATTCACTGAAATTTGTGACATACCGCGATTAGCGTTCTTGGACACCGCCTATAAGGCGGAACCCGAATATTTCATACCCTTCTAGTAATCAATCTATATTCTCAGAAGATAATCTTGTCATCATTGAGCAGAAGAATATGTTGACTTATATTACGCGAAGAAATACGAAAACCATAATTTGAATCAGGAAGTAACTTAGTTTTGAATGAAACGAAGTTGTCGGCGGTTTCCAGTTACGGAAATGATCAAAATCCGGAAATCGTAAATTTTTAAAAATAAAAAAAAATCGGGGCGGGACGATTTCAGAGGGGCGGGCGGGGATGAAAATCTATCAATTAATTTTAATTGGCCTTATCTCTATTTAAAATAATTACAAAAGCTCTTTCCTTTCTTAAATCTTTGTGTCTGCTTCCAAGATGTTTTTCATTTTATAGATCATTTAAAAGTTTGCTTTACATCTTGTTTATAGGGAAAAGTGCCAAACCTTCCAGATATGGCTTTTCCGAATAAATGGAAGGTGAAAGGGTCCAGGTGACATATTTTGAAGATTCTTCAAAATGCTTAATATTTAAAAAAGAGGAATCGTTTACCCAAAGTAATCCAGCACTTAAACTGTGAAACATAGTAATTTCATTTAATAGATTACTTCCCCTTGTTTGGTTAACTTATTCATAGATGGGTGCTTAAAGACCTGCAGCAAGTATTATAAATATATTCATGACAATTATATTTTAATGTCATTTGAATACATGCAGCTATATACTGGAACTATCCTGTTCGGTTGGAGATGTGTAAAACTTGTGTTTATGTGTATTACATTTCATTAGAAAATATTCAATTTTGAAAAGTAAAAACATCATCACTCTTACCCTTCGAAAATTATCGATGTTATCAAATACATATTTTTAGAATGATTATTATGAATAAAATTTGAACAGTGCAGCTTCAAAATATATCAAAACTTGACTTATCTACAAAATATCTACATATAGCAATATCAAGCTTTAGGTAATTTAAAGTTGACAAGATATGTAAACATTCGCTACACAATTTTATTGCATATGAAGGTTATATTTTCCGTAGAGGTAACCAAAAAATTAGCAAGATAGCAAGCAATATCCCTCCCTTGATATTGCATCAGTAAAAAAACACATGAAAATGGAAAACTAAAAAAGCAATTAAATCCAGTGTTCTCCCCAAAAGTTTCATATAGCATCCTATATTGAAACACCATCTTGTTTCTAGAAATTATAGTATCACACCCATAACACAATATATAAGAAAATCTTTTCAGATAACATCACATCCTAGCAATACAGCATCACATTACCATGATGCTTAAAGGCCATGAGAAGAACACTGATTAAATCTACACATAGTTTTCTAGTCATTTTAAAATAAACAGGTTAATACATAATTATTTGTGAATAGTGTCCCTTAAAACATGTATTGAACTGGCAAGTTTGTACAATGTAATATTCTACTTTTGAAAACATTCACCTTCATTAATACAATAAACCAATGATATAAAATATACAAAAAAGTCCAAAAAATGCATTTCAATATAGTTATGTTAAAATATGATGTGCAGAGCTCAAATTGTCTGCTACAAGCAATTAAAGTTCTAATAAACTAATTTTCTGCTATATACAGATGCATACATGAATTTAATTTACATTAAAAAAAAAACAGAAAAAATGTTTCATGGCAAAATAACATTTTGACATCAACAGCAAAAATCTAACAAATATCTTAAACTTGTATATCAAAATGTTATGCATTCTAGCCAATAATAATTTAATATAACAACATCAATAAAAGCCAATTATAAATAAGGGACATGAACGCCAATAAAAAATAAATGCTGATAAAACAATACTGTATATCAGTCAATTGTCTTACATACTGATACTTGTATAAATTATTTCCTTCTATACATAACTGATATTCGAATAAGAAACATTTAAAAAAAAGAATTAGAAATGTGAGTGAACTCGCCATAAAGATATATCTAATTTGTTATCTCCCTTTTTACATTTTGTACAAAGCTTGCATTCCTTTATGCATATCTTCTAGAAGTGTTCTATAAATGTGTAAAGTTTTATCAATACCCATCCAACCCTTTAGAAGGAGTTGTACTTATGAGCGACTATCACCACATTTTTGCAATATTGAAATAAATTAGTTGGATTGTCTCCCCTTTAACATGCAGGACCTGGAATAATCATATATGCACATCTTCAGTTAGTGTGAATCAGTGTTCCACAACTGTGTTAGGTTTCATTAATATCCATTTAGCAGTTTATGAAGCTTTCAAGGCACATGGACAGACATATAGACAGGGTGATTGATATAGACCTCCAAAACTTTGTTTGCACAGAGTATTAAAGACAGAGGCTCAGTCACTACAGCAGCAAATACGAGCTGGATCTCATATTCTGCTCTAGTATTTGACATGCGTGGATTATAATTTAACTGTATACATAATCAATTATCTATTATTAGTACTCATTCTGAAATGGACCATATCAGAAACCTTTAACATTTTGTGTGGGCAGAAGTAATGCTAGAAAAGTGTGACCAACTTTATAAAATTCTTTTCATGCCATCAAAATGCTAAGTCTATTGAACTTTAAGAATTTAGCTTTAAGACATTCTTGATTTTTGATATTTTTGTTTACAAAACATACAAGTAACTATTAATTAAAGGCAATTTATGTAAAAAATAAAAATTATCTTTTAAATTTGCTCAAACAAACATAAACTACAGTTTACAGTTTATGAAATATAATATGTACGTAAAATTCAAAAATTAATTTGTATATTTTATACACATGCAATACATGTGCATGTTCTTAATTCAACCTGGGAAAAAAATTTCAAAGAAAACGAAAATGAAAATTGTACTGATTAGAATTATACATTGTATAAACTGACTTCATGGGGTCATCTATGATTCACAACTATTTCCCTAGAAGTGTAGACAACACAACCAATACATAGCTCTTTTTTTTTGGTAAAAATCAGTATTTCTATACGTCTATACACGATTTTAATATATTATTTTAGCTGATTTGCAGGTTATACAGTAGTACACCAGTGGGAAAAGACATGATGGTCCTTCAATACTTGAGTCAGATTTCAAATTTAATCTTTAGCTTGTTCAAGTCCTCTCTTCAACTGTATCTCCCACGATGAAGGTTCAGCTTTGTGTAGTAGTAAAGTTATCAGATCATCTTTGTACTGTAAATACAAAAATGTATAAAATACACCTCATGTTGCAACTTAAAAAAAATTACATCATCATTCTACACTGAAAACACTTGACATTGCAATGACCTAAAAAAACTGTAGCATAAGGCTTAATTAATAGCTTACTGTGGATTCACTTATTTTTTGGAAGATACCAATTTTTGTGAATTTAGGAAAAATTGTATTTTTGTGGATATTTGGATTTTGTGGTTTTGCAAAAGTCTGCATAGAAGCATATAGAAAATTTCTACTTTAATGGACATTTAAATTCGTGATTCACCTAAACGCGGCATGAAATCCAAGCTTCATGTGAGCATGAATATTTGTAATATCATATCATGCATTTTAAAATCCCACTAACTTTCTGTTAACTGATTATATCTATAGCGGGGATATCCATCTACGCTTGCCAAGGGTTACGATCCAGTTCCCTCCTCTCCACCCTTGGCGGATTAAGATAGAATTTCGGATCCACGAGGTAATGATTTTCATTGGTTGCAGTTATAACTGGCTGCATCCAATCAAAAAGCGCCTTTAGGATAATCACGTGAAAATGTAGAAAATGTAAATAAACAATTGCCATGTGCTGATTGTGCAACAAGTCTTTACCTCCAAAACAAAGAACGATATCTAGTGACAATTTTAAAGTTCTTAATCAACTAATTGAAGTTCCTGGGTATGTTTCAAGTGGAAATGTTGGAATGTCAACGTATATTTTCAGTTCCTGCTTGTCCAAATTTGTAAACACTAGACACAACCATTTTTACACCTCAACACTGAAGAGAGTTCAAGTGCTGCCATTAGTCAAAAATGATGTAGTTGGAATGGGCGTGACTTTCATCTAACAGTAGATGGTGCAGCATTGTAATCACAAATGCTGGCTTTATCTGCCAAGGGTGGAGAGGAGGGGGACTGGATCGTAACCCTTGGCTAGCGAAGATGGGGATATCATTCGTGAGCAATACATGTATCTCACTGAAAATATTCACTTACTTTTATAGATATCTGTTATGTTTATTAGAGATTTTTCATGATAATGATATGCTAAAATTTTTCCTTTCGGTAAACAGGTGTGTTTAGAATATTGATTCCAATTACAAATTTAACATCAATTTAACATTAATTTTCATAGATAAATTTTCCAACAAATATATCTTTTATGAATTGTCTTTCTTTTTAGTCTGTAGTTTAACATGATAGTTTATGTAAAGTACAAAATAGAAAGAAATATTTACACTATTTCATTTAAAGGTTTGACCATTACAATGTTTAACTAAACACCTACTTTTATATGTATATATATATATATGTAAAGATACATACTATAGCTAAAGGCTACTTGTATATACATGTATCAATTAAATCCTTATGTGTGGTCAACTTATTGGGAATTAAATCTGATTAACAAATACATGACTTCAATGTACATTATAAGTGTTTCTCTCCACCTATTGCAGTTCATTCAAAATTCTGACCCAATTGCAATTTGTTTTATCAAATCAAACTGTTCAACTGGTCAGAAATTTTAATCAACTGCAACTGCAAAAGTTATATATTTGTGTATTATATTACAGGAAAATAAATCTCTAGCATGATAGGTTTACTTATTTTTTATTGATTCTTTATTTTTTTTGGGGCACTTTTTAATTATTTTCATATAAATAAACATGTTGAAACAATCTACTAACCTTTGTGGTGCATTTATCAGGAATTATCTCCCCTGGTAACTTTTTCACATCATATCTAAACTTATTTTCAATATCATTCTTTTTGACAATGGCAGTTATTTGAAGAGAACTAAAATAAACAAAAAAACATACAATTAAACTTTTGATTTTATTTTCCTAGTAAGATTAAAGTTGTAAAGGTTCTTGGAATGGCTTTAAAAACAACCTTTGTTTGCTTTAGTTCTGAATAACTGGAGATAAAGTCCTTTAAAGGGACATTAGCTGTCAAATTCAATGTAAAAACTTATATTTACTCTTAAAATTAACCTTTTTCTATCTGGTGTTTGTTTTAAGCATGTTGATATCCTTAAAAGTGTGATATTTTACAGGATTTCAGCCAGATTGCATGTTATTATGCATTTGTAAGGTCTACTTCCTTTTACACAAAGATGTACATGTATATGAGTCAGATACACACCCTAAAACAAAGTATGTGGTCCATGCATGTGGCCATTGTCATTTGAACTATTTAAATTTGGCAAAAAAGTCAAAATTATGATTTTCAATTTTCAGGTAAGAGAGCACAATTTTGAGCTACATGTATTTACACATTTTATCATCAAATGTTTAATATCATCAATATTATAAGTTATAACTGATGTTACATTTCATGCAATTATAAGGCCAATATTGACCCTTTGTGAACCTTAACTCCTTTGCATGGGGATTTTATCAAAATTTTGTTAGTATGGATTCAGCACTATAAAAGCGCAATCCATCCATATTTAGAAATAAACTGTTACATATTCTTTACCATATGTTTTTAAGTCTATCATATATTTTCTGTTCCTCAAGACTATACAATAAAATTGAGAATGGAAATGGGGAATGTGTCAAAGAGACAACAACCCGACCATAGAGCAGACAACAGCCGAAGGCCACCAATGGGTCTTCAATGCAGCGAGAAACTCCCGCACCCGGAGGCGTCCTTCAGATGGCCCCTAAACAAATATGTATACTAGTTCAGTGATAATGGACGTCATACTAAACTCCAAATTATACACAGGAAACTAAAATTAAAAATGATAAAAGACTAACAAAGGCCAGAGGCTCCTGACTTGGGACAGGCGCAAAAATGCGGCGGGGTTAAACATGTTTTTTGAGATCTCAACCCTCCCCCTATACCTCTAACCAATGTAGAAAAAACAAACGCACAATAGTACGCACAGTAAAACTCAGTAGTTTATTTCTTTATAATGCAAGTCTTCCTAAATTAAACAAATGAAGATAATCATGATAATCAACTAAACTTACTTTGCCTGGAAATCGGGTGTTACTGTACAGTTATCTTTTAGTTTAGCAGTTCCTATACCAGGCAATTTTCGTTTCACTTCTAAATTGGGTATTCTTATATCAACTTCTACTGTCTTAGAGTCAATTTCTTGTATAGTGGCTGAACAAATAACAAACATGATATCATAATACACATAAATTACCTGAAAAATACACTTTGTTTTTTTGTTTTGTTGTATTGTTTTTTAACTTGCTGACTTAAAATAAAACTTAATTGATTTGACCATGCATATGAATAGTCCACAAAGATAATGTAAACTTGGTATAAATAATAACAGTATTTTTGTGACTGTTTATACTTATTTTATGAGATTTCAATTTCAACTACAATGTAGTTTTTTGAGATCTCATGACTGCAATTTTTTTCTTCTGTGGCTTTTATCTTGTTTTGAAGAAATAAATCCTACATGTGATATACAAAATTTTATCTGCTCATGTGTATGAAACATAGAACTGAGTTGCAAGTCTTATTAAAAAACACATCATGTTTATTTCATAGGCTAATTAGGATGGATGGAAAAAGGAAACCCTATCTCATGAACGGAGTACTAGGGAATACAAATTCCAAGGTATCCGGTCGTTCCGTCCCCAAACCAATCCGGCCCCAAGTCGATCCGGCCCAAAGTCGATCCGTCCCAAGTCGATCCGGCCCACGTCGATCCGTCCCTACGTCGATCCGGCCCCATAATAAAATATGAATAAACTATATTGACTTTGGAGGATTTTGTGACAAATTTTAACAGTATAAATGGAATTTGTAAAAAGTATCGATGATGGATGACAACAGGTAAGTGAAGTATTGGAGTACCAGTCAAAGAATTATTTTAAATCGATACGAAAATGAGTGTGATTGTGTCTGTTTGTATAGCAGCTTCAACATATTAATATCAAGTTATTTTCCATGATAACTTTGAATGTCATGGCGATTTTTATTTTATTTAATTCACACACAGAATAGCTAAATAAATATTTACTGTCCAATGGAACCTATAAATTTTAACTCATCATAATGACTTGTTTAATCAAATCATTAGTCTATAATTGGTTTGTTTATTCAACAATTGTCTGATGATTGTGAACTAAGGTAATGCCACTCGTAATCACTTAATTCAATCAAATCCTGATTGATTAAAGTTACGTAATCAACAAGGTCTTTATAGTTTGATCTTTTGTTTGGTGTTATGTGTTATAATAATTAATTGTATATTTTTTTTCAGGTAACATCAGAGGCTTCTATAACACATTCTTTTTTTGTAATATCGAATATAGTCAATATATTTTTTTAAAGTTGACAATATTTTAAATAGTTGTGTGTAGATAAAATAAAATGCTTCGCTGGGCGCAGCTTGATACGACCGCAGAGGTCGAACCCTGAACAGTTGGGGCAAGTATGGACACAACATTCAAGCTTGATACAGCTCTGAATTTGGATTGTGATTAAATATTTGACACAGCATAGGTTTCTGACACAGAAAGAATGTGGTCTAAGAACTTCAATTTTTTTAATTTACCTATTATGGTCCAATGTCCAAAATCAAAATACATGGTTAGATTCAGCATATCAAAGAACCCCATATATTCAATTTTTGTTGAAATCAAACAAAGTTTAATTTTGGACCCCAACTTGGACAAACTTGAAAACTGGTCCCATAATCAAAAATCTAAACACATGTTTAGATTCAGCATATCAAAGTACCCGAAGAATTCAATTTTTGTTAAAATCAAACTAAGTTTAATTTTGGACCCTTTGGACCTTAATGTAGACAAATTTAAAAAACGGGACCCAAAATTAAAAATCTAAAAACACGGTTAGATTTGGCATATCAAAGAACCCCAATAATTCAATTTTTGATGAAATCAAACAAAGTTTAATTTTGGACCCTTTGGACCTTAATGTAGACAAATTTAAAAAACGGGACCCAAAATTAAAAATCTAAAAACACGGTTAGATTTGGCATATCAAAGAACCCCAATAATTCAATTTTTGATGAAATCAAACAAAGTTTAATTTTGGACCCTTTTGACCTCAATATGAACCAATTTGATAGCGGGCCCACAAATAAAAAATCTAAATACATGGTAAGATTCAGCATATCAAAGAACCCCATATATTCAATTTTTGTTGAAATCAAACAAAGTTTAATTTTGGACCCCAATTTGGACCAACTTGAAAACTGGGCCAAAAATCTAAAATCTAAATACATGTTTAGATTCAGCATATCAAAGAACCCCATATATTCAATTTTTGTTGAAATCAAACAAAGTTTAATTTTATACCCCAACTTGGACCAACTTGAAAACTGGTCCCATAATCAAATATCTAAACACATGTTTAGATTCAGCATATCAAAGAACCCCAAAAATTCAATTTTTGTTAAAATCAAACTAAGTTTAATTTTGGACCCTTTGGACCTTAATGTAGACCAATTTAAAAAACAGGACCCAAAATTAAAAATCTAAATACACGGTTAGATTTGGCATATCAAAGAACCCCAATAATTCAATGTTTGATGAAATCAAACAAAGTTTAATTGTGGACCCTTTTGACCTCCATATGAACCAATTTGATAGCGGGCCCACAAATAAAAAATCTAAATACATGGTAAGATTCAGCATATCAAAGAACCCCATATATTCAATTTTTGTTGAAATCAAACAAAGTATAATTTTGGACCCCAATTTGGACCAACTTGAAAACTGGGCCAAAAATCTAAAATCTAAATACATGTTTAGATTCAGCATATCAAAGAACCCCATATATTCAATTTTTGTTGAAATCAAACAAAGTTTAATTTTGGACCCCAACTTGGACCAACTTGAAAACTGGGCCCATAATCAAAAATCTAAACACATGTTTAGATTCAGCATATCAAAGAACCCTAAGAATTCAATTTTTGTTAAAATCAAACTAAGTTTAATTTTGGACCCTTTGGACCTTAATGTAGACCAATTTAAAAAACGGGACCCAAAATTAAAAATCTAAATACACGGTTAGATTCGGCATATCAAAGAACCCCAATAATTCAATTTTTGATGAAATCAAACAAAGTTAAATTTTGGACCCTTTGGACCTCAATGTGGACCAATTTAAAAACGGGGCCCAAAATCCAAAAACTTAATACACGGTTAGATTCAGCATATTAAAGAACCCCAAGAATTCAAGAATAAAACCCCATTGAAATTGATCAAGAAATAAGCAATTTATACAAAGTATCTTCTTTTGCACAATACTGTGCAATTGAATATTTCTTGCTATTGCGCAATACTGTACAATTGACAATTTCTTGCTATTGCGCAATATTGTGCTATTGGATATTTCTTGCCATTGCGCAATACTGTTAAATTGAAGATTTCTTGCTATTGCGCAATACTGTGCAATTGAAGATTTCTTGCTATTGTGCAATACTGTGCAATTGAAAATTTCTTGCTATTGCACAATACTTATTATATAATAATTTACACATCCTGTTTGGTGTGTATCTCCTACCATATCATTATTATTTGCTTTTAAATATAAATCAGAAATAACCAACTTAAAATGGAAAATTTTAAAAGAAAAAAAAAAAAAAAAAAATCCCCCCCCCCAATTTTTTGAACCCCCTTATGATTCATCACCCCCAAACTCAATCCCAGCCTTCCCTTTGTGACATGGTACCTTGCAGTACAATTTCAGAGAGATCCATACACTTGAACACAAGTTATTGTCTGGAAACTAGAAAAATGCTTATTTTTGGCCCCTTTTTGTCCCCCAATTCCTAAACGTTTCGGGCAATTACCCCCAAACTCAATTTCAGCTTTCCCTTTGTGATATGGAACATTGTAGTACAATTTCAGAAATATCCAAACACTTACACACAAGTTATTGTCATGAAACTAGAAAAATGCTTGTTTTTTGCCCCTTTTTTGGCCCCTAATTCCTAAAATTTTGAGGCAATTACCCCCAAAATCAATTACAGCCTTTCCTTTGTGATATGGAACCTTGTGGTACAATGTCAGAGAGATCCATACACTTACACACAAGTTATTGTCTGAAAGTTACAAAAATGCTTATTTTTGGCCCCTTTTTGGCCCCTAATTCCTTAACTGTTGGTACCATAACCCCCAAAATCAATCCCAACCTTCCTTTCGTGGTATTGAACCTTATGGCGAAATTTCATGGAGATCCATTCACTTAAACTAAAGTTAGAGTGCGAAAACCAATGTGTCTTCGGACGACGCCGGATGACGACGACGACGACGACGACGACGACGCCAACGTCATACCAATATACGACCAAAAAATTTTTAATTTTTGCGGTCGTATAAAAAACCAAGTTATATGAGTATCCATTATTCTTTATTGCAAGATAATAACAAAATAATTACACTGAATGCACATTTTCACTCTCTAAAATATAATATCATCACTACTATAATATAACAATAAATTCATACACACTAACAAACACACTATCTCTGACACTCACATAAATATATATAACACTTAAATCATTTACACTAACAGTTACACTGTCACTTACATAATATAAAAGGGGTCACACTTGCAGCACTACAATAACATATACAGTAACTATCATACGCAGTACATATATAATATATAGAACTAACAGCACTATAATTGTTCAATTTGATTAGCTCACCAAGAACAAACGCACTATATATATTATTCTAAACATAAAGAATACTCATGAAGCATTTAATAAATAAATGTTATATAAACATATAGATTGTAGCCGCACTAACATAATACAAGTCATACAGTTCACTCAATGTCAATTAAATCACTCGCTGTCAGTGTCTTCTTCTGGTTCTGGGTCTGGCACAGGAATGTCGTACATGTGTCCGACGGCATGAAGGAAGAATAAGGTGGTGATGGTACCGTCTTGAAGTTGCTCCCATAGTGAAGAGAGGCGTCCCTGTGACCGTTGATACTTGGTGCATTGCCAACGGGCAAGACTCTGTTCATCTACCAGAAGCACCTGCCTCGAAACAGTTTTGGCTTCCTTGATGAGCGCTGGAACCATCTTGTAGAAGTGGAGTCTGTATGTATCAGCTTGGGGATCGGCTTGTACCGTTGTGTATGTAACTATTTGTTATTACACAGGATGAAAGACTTGTTAAGATCACAGTCAATTGAAAGAAAATGCTAATTACTGCTGATTAATGTTGATGTCTGTTGATTGTACTAAATTCTGTTATATACGTTTTTATTATAATTATACCCAATAATCTTGAAAACTTGTAATGAAAACATAATCAACATAGTTGTTTTAAACTCATCTAAAGAAAATATTTGTCAAAGGCCAATTTTTTTTTACCGTACACCTTTTACATTATAATAAAATTCATAAACATTTATGAATTACAATTAATATATATCTTTATTTTTATTCCCTATAAATATATTTTTTTATTGGGCCGGATCGACTTTAAATATGGGCCGGATCGACGTTGGGCCGGATCGACGTGGGACGGATCGACTTGGGCCGGATCGACGTGGGGCCGGATCGACATGAAACCAATTCCAATTAGTGCCCTCTCCTTTTATTATACTTTAATGTTTAAGTTTACTCAATGCAGGTCACTATTCTTGTTGCGTGGAAATTTTTTGTAATACGAACAACAGTTTTCCAATTTTTGAGGTGTGCAATAATGATAAGGTCCTTTAAGTAGAAATGAGCTAACATAGTTTGCCTTAAAACTTAGCAGATTGGAGGTGCCTCAGAGAAAGACATATTTTCACACCTTTGAAGCAAAGGCACTTGTTTCTATCCATGGGAAGGTCCACTATCCATATGTAATTTGCCTGTGCTTTGAAGGATAAAAGAAATATTGATTTCCTCTAGTCCAAATAATTATGAGGTCTTGAAAGGCTAAAGCGTCACAACAAAAATTAAAATAGCCTTTCAAGACATCATAACTATTGGACAAGGATTTCCTATATCATGTATATCATGTATATAAAAACTATAAATTCACAAGGAAATTTCCTTTATTTTTTTGGCCTTTTGTCTCTATTTTAGCTAAATGATTTCTATTCTGTAAACCCCATGTTGACCCTCATAACTGGATAAATTTGATCTAAACGAATTGCTGCCTTGGGCAAAAGTCAGCAACAATGTTTGTACATAATTATCATGATTATTATTGAAATATTCTAATAAATTGTATTCATTGCAAATCAGTAAACAAAATTTCTTTCGAGCGATTCTATAAAAGAAAATCATTGAAAGGTAAAGAAATGATTTAACATTTTAAGAAAGAAATTTAAAGTAATGATGAAGTTTATGTAAACAAAATATGACAATACGATGAGGCACCTCAGACCCGGTGTTTTGTTTCAAATAGTCAGCGCTTATCTTGATATCTTTGATTGCTGTTAAAACATTGCTGTAGAAATTGCTAAGTATGCTTAATATTGGTTAGTCTGAAGAACTAAAAACACTTGAAATTTATACCTTTAGGAATGCGATATTCAGATTCTTCTGCCATTGCACGTAAGTTCGTTCTGTTTTACAATCCGAGAAAAATAGGATAAATCTAGTAAGTTATTCCGTAATCGGCCCCATGATGTTTCTCACCAGCAAGTTTTATTCAGATCGCAAATTTCAATTCAACGCAGTTTTTACTGATGCTTCAAAATTTGTATTCTTTTGCCTTCTTAAAAATTTGGTCTCAAGCGTAATTTCCCAATGGTGCTGGTTTTCCAAAAATACGTTTCGTGAGATCTAATAGGTTGGTAGCATTGCTGGTAGACTGTAGTATACCCGAGGGTATTAAAAAAACCAGGAATTAAGAGCAGTGTAATAAGATAGATGACACCAAGGGGGCAATCGAAACTCATAAGTCCAATCAAAATAACAGACAATACCGTGAGCAAAAACAAAAACGGAGAAAAGACAAATTTAAACAAAAATAGCAAAATAATACCGTGACAGAAAACTAATGATTGAGGAATATGAACTCACAAAAATTTGATCGGGGTGAACTCAGGTGCTCCAAAATGGTAAACAGTTCCTGCTCCACACCGGGCACTCGTCGTATTTCATGCATGTCGCATTCTGAAATGTCAAAATCGATGCTGAAAAGAAGACGGGATTGTGGTAACGACAAGCAGAACATATTCATGGTCATTTGCGACCGGTATATGCCAAACACGACCAACCAAATTATGGTGGTAACCTACTAAGTAAACTTTCATTTCGATTCAGTCACATATCGAAGGCAACTCGAGTTCTTTAAACGGATTTGGTCGTTTGTTTAGATGCCCACAGAAACTCTTTACTGCATTCGAATGGCTTAACTTTTGTCTAGAGCGAACCTTGCATGGAAATTATCAGCCTCTAGCAATTAACACGCGTCGGTCACACAGAAATCGATATTATACGTGTATACTGAAAGAGTTGATATATGCATTTTGTTTATGTATGAATATAGATAACTGGATTGGAATATTTGTCAATATGCATTGGCGGATCCAGAACTTTTCAAAAGGGGGGCCCGCTGACTGACCTAAGAGGGGGCCCGCTCCAGTCATGCTTCAGTGATTCCCTATATAATCAACCAAATTTTTCCCACATAAGGGGGGCCAGGGCCCCCCTGATCCGCCTATGATATGCCGAATCTTAACAAAGTTTACCTACTTACATAAATACTTTAGGGGACATTAAACACTCATAAGTCGAAGAGAAACGGACAACGCAATGACAAAAAAAACGAAAAACAACGAAAAGACACAAGTCCCCAAAACACTACATTGATAAGACTTCCACAAAAAAACCGGAGTGATCTCAGGTGCTCCAGAAGGGTTAGCATATCTTGCTCCACATACAATGTATTACATTTCTCTATAATTATGAATTAAAGGAGATGTGTAGAAGGTTTTTGAAGAAAAAAAAACCACAAATAGTCGAAAGACATCTAGATTAGTATATTTATATCCTTACGATAAGGATAGGAAATTTAGTCCAGGTCAGCAGCCCACCATTAAATGAATGTAGGAAACAAAAAGATATAACCGCAACAGCTGCTCTCATAATTTGTTTAAGGCGCAGACCTCACTTACTCAATTAATCCGAGTCTCGTATACTTTAAAGCAGTAGCTAATAACCCTATGCATAGCTAGATATGTCACATTATTAATTGCGCAACCACTCATAAACTTTTATAATTCCAGGCATTTGATCAGAATAATTTTGTATAAAGTGGAATCTACTTCTATAGTGTCTGAAAATACGTATTAAAAACCGATTGCAAAAGCGTTATAGAGTATATACATCTAATGTCTGAAAGAATATGCTTCATGTGTTTCTATTCAATTGATATAAAAAAAAAAACTTTAGGGCTCGAACTTATTAGTGGAAATAAAAAAAGTAAAATAAAAGGACTTATATTTCCCTGAGATACAGGAAATTTCAAAGAAGCAGAGTATGTCTCAGTGGAGTGTTTAATTCTTTTTATTTCACAGAGGTAAACAGTCGTTCACTTTCTGCAAGATAATTGACTTATTTAACAACAACAATTGAATAAAATCTATTGAAATGCATTTTTATATAGAAAACGGTACTATGGGTAGACTGAGCAATATAAGCGTAATAATATATATGTAAAAACTTATTTGTATAAAATAAATGTCTGATTACGAAAATACATCAGAAAATCACAGTCCGGCTACAACAGTTACTGCATGTCGGCTCCAAAACAGAGCTCTGGCTCAGAATCAAGTAAAATATTCCTGAACACATTGATACATAACGAATGCAATTATAAATGCATAACGGATATGCATCTACGATATAACAATCTGTTGTTCAATTCCAAACTTAAAATCACAGCTTCCCTCAATATCAATAAAAACTGTTCTTCCCTCTGTCTTTAAGTCTGGTATAGTTTTATCATCAAAAAGAACTTCTTTCATATCTCCTGTGAACACCATTAAATATTTGTTATTATCTCTTCTGCTGTAGAAATTCACTACAACTGTTCCTCGTATGGCGACACGAGTTTTAAATGTGTATCCACACTGTTTTTCCTTGATATGAATTTCAGCTGTCAAATTTGAATGTTCAGGGACAGTTAGTGTCCCTTCACTTGACCATGTTAATGTCTTCTGGTTAGTGGTCTCTCTACCATTGACCACCTCATACCCTCTAGAATATCCTATTGAAGCCTTTGCAATTTCCTCTGGGGCCCCTATTTCTAGTCCCATATTTAAACTTGTCGTGTAGCCCTTTGACAAGGTACTTTTACACTCCGCAACAGTCTGGCGCTCGGCTTTAAGAGAATGAGTCTGCGGACTAGCACTTTGATTTTCGAAGACGGACCTAAATATAACGTTCGATTCAAAATGTGGGTTTCCTGTCTGGGAATATGTTGGTTGTTCGGTTACAAAAGACACTCCAGACCAGTCAAATACTAAATTCAATTCTTTTCGTTTCTTTGGAAATCCTTTCTTTCTACTGCTCATATATAAATCCCATGCTTGTTTTTCAACGATTTCTTCCAAATCAATTATTTGCTCATCCATAGCCACCTAAAACACATTACAATAATATTAATGTTTAAAAAATGGTTTCTTAAATTATAAGAAAGTAAAGTTAGCTTAAAACATCACAGTGACTAAGTATAATAATAGCACGTCTATCGAACGTTTTATCTTTGACTCGACAGAACACAAATCAGACAACTTCACCAATTATACATGTATATGTGTATTATTGAAAAATGTTTAAATACTAAAAGGTATTTCCTTTTTTTTAATATTCAATTTCTCAAACAAAACTGAAGCCATGTTATTTAAAGATTCTGGGGGTTGGTGGCATGGATAGTTTCTGTTCACTGATCGTTATTTTTACTCTGGATAGATTTGAGGATTGATATTTTTTATTTAGACTACTATCTTTTGTTTTTTTTTGTGCCGGTGGGTTGCTGTCTCTTCGACATACGACCCATATCTTCTTTTATTCATATCTATATATACATGTCTAGGGAAGACTACATTAGTCCTTTACTAAACATATAATATTCACATTTTTTTGTACTGAAAGCACCGAGGTTAGATAAATTCATTGGAACTTAGTCCAATAGAAGTGCTTTAAATACAGTTTTCACATACTAGATATTTTTATTTGAAAGCATGGTATCAACTGAATAAAATAACTATAATAAGGTGTACCTCAAAGGATTTGCCATCGGACAAAAAAAACTTAATCGCTTACTGAAGAAAAGCTAAAAGTGTTGCTTTTAAACTGTCCTTTAGTTATTTGTTTCCTTGTGTTACTATTTATTGACGTATACTCCACATCTTCTTTCATTCATGTCGTATATAATTGGAAGAAAATTAATTTATGCATTTTCAACGCTAATATATATAATGTTGTCTGTCTTCTTTCTGGAATATTGGCGAGGGACGTTTGCGCTTTTTTATGGGACCATTGCGCTTTTTTAAATGGACATTCGCGCTTAAACTTTTAAGACATTTATTTTTGTTTAAATAAAAAGGACATTTGCGCTTTATCTGCATAGGAATAAAGATACTATATTTTCCCTTAGCAGTTGATGTGACACTGTAGAAAAAAGGGGCGGACGATACAAAAGGGACATTCAAAACTCGTAAGTGGAAGACAAACTGACAACGCCAAGTAAAATGATAATATTTTACTTACATTTGAACGTATAAGTTCACAGGCCCAATTTTTATCATTTTATTTTGATTTTTTGAAAGATCAGATGTCAATCATATCGACCACAAACATTGATGTTATCGATCAACTTATCAAATTAATGGATTATCGTGATTTCATATTGACATAAATGAAATACATATATCAATATCTGATCGTTTTAGTGTCCTGAACAACAAATATAAATTAAAAAAAGTTTAAATAATACAAGGTTCTTAATAACAACTGTATTAATATATATTTATTTTTTATTATTTTGTCTTTGTGATTCATATTAATTGAATTACCCTATATGGACCTTTTAATTTGGAAGAAAAGATATTTGTATTTTGATACAAACTACGTTGTACACTGTACTATATATAATTTGATAACAGAAAACCAAAAAAGTTTACAGAACCAAGTGTTTCTCATAGAGGTACCAATGACCTCCATACACAGGAAAATTGAAACAAAATGGTTGTTTATGTAGCCTGTACGCAATTTCCACTATTAATGAAGTATTTTCAGCGAAACTAAATAAAATTTAACTCACACCGCAAGAAAACAAATTTAAGTACTGTTTGAAAGTCTATTGTTATTTGGCGATCAGCTTTGCATAACATTAAGATCAAACGTTCATAATACAAATTTGAGGAAGACCCTTTTGACTATAGTGTTCTTTTTGAAGGGTCACGTTCTCTATTTTGAACAAAAGAAATGACAATAATTTCTTTCATTATAACACGAAGTAAAACCAAACCATATAATCAACTCATTCATCGATAAAGTAGGTAAATTTTGGAATGTGTAGCTATATCTATTACAAAGAAAGCTATTGACAATATAAACTTGTCCTTATTTATATATATTTAAACGACAAAAGAGAAAATTTAACAAGTATTTATTTTAAATCCAGACTGATTTTGAACATATTTATGTAATATTCGAACAATGGAATATCTGTGAAGTTAACACATATGAATATAGAGGTCTTTTATGCCTGCATTAAGTTTAACTTTTAATATTAACATACATATGCATTACGCTGTGCCTGCTGCCAAATTAAAGTTCAATCAGAAGGCAACATCACAAGTTTTTCAAGTCCCTGTTTGAAGTTTTACTTTAGCATCCCTATATTCATATTCCTTCTTCCTTTTCGTGATGTTATGGAAGAATCTTAATGATGGGAAATGCTTTTTCTTCGTACAGTCATTTCTTTTCGATCGAATAGATTTACATGCCATGGTTTGACGACTGCAATAGCTTTGTCATGCGACATATGCAATTAACATCAATTTTCTAAATGTCAGAATGATATTTCAGTGTTTGTACAGTATCCGTTTATTATGATGTCCATTTATCACATTATAAATGATTAAAACGACGAAACTATTTGCACAAAATAATTTATTGTTCTGCGCACGGAAGTTCGTGAGGTTAAGACAGGGAAAAGGATTACTTATTGGGAATGACCAAATATAAAAAAGAAAAATGCTATATGATTCTTGCAAATTCATGATAGGAATTATTTTGTGCATAATTTTGTATGAATGGACGAAATTGTTAGCCTAGCTAGTTTTTACACTACGGACACACAAATGGTCAAAGGTTCACCATGATATTGTGTTTTTATATCTAAACAGGAATGCTAGTTAGCTATATATGCTCGAGATTTTCAACTTCAAAACCGTTTGCTATGAATCACTCTTCTGTCCGTTTTTTTTCCATATATGTTTTTTGACAAAATAAAGAACAATCCGTCATTAGATTATTATTTTCTATTCGTTGGTAGAAGGACAAAGATCAGACGCGTTTCCAGACATTTAAAACAAGGGAAGCTTAAGGATTCAAGCTAGATTCAATTTTGTATGATTGTCGCCGATTTTACGTTATTTAAACAAACCCGTGGAAAGATGGGATTCTCTTCCGGCACCTCCTCTCGAGATGCGCCTATAACCCATTTTAATATTTTCTTGGATGTCAATGAGCCCACTTACATTCTGAAATGGCGAAAGCCAGAAAGTATTTGGTGAAAAAAAATATCACTATTCTGTTTATTGCAAAAATAAGGAAATTTCATCCAAACAAACCTCAATAGGAAAGATTTGCTAATTCGCTTGGATACTATAATCAATGTAAACATATAATGTTCAGTTTCAGCGAAGGAAGTAATGAGCGATTTTTGTTTCGGCAATAATTATCGTATAATTCATGCAAATTACACCGCGTGTTTTATATTCTGTAAATTCTGTTTGTTGATTCATATAAATTATCATTTGTTTAAGATAAGGAAATTGTTTTTAGATGTCAGATCCCTAGCGGGATACTGGATCAATAATTCAAATTTGCCATTCCATAAGCTCTGGGATTTTCTTTTGCATTACACTCCAATAGTTTTATGCATATTTCATGTAGTTATCAGAAATGAGCGACTGGAAACCGATTCATTTATAAACAATCATACTTCCTCGCATTTGTATTAATGATACGAAAAGAACATGTTTGAAAACATGTTGAATCACACACGGAAAAGCAAACAATTCTTCAAGTGCATTTCATATAAGTTCAAATTGAAAGCAATATATTTAATGCGTATATGCACTTCGACACGCCGTTTAACTGTTATTGAAATCGATATATGCATATCTATACATGTATTTTTGAATTCAATTCGAAGGTTTTTTTCTTCAAAAATTTTATCTCTCAACAAGTACACTATACAATTATAACTTGTAAAAAATTCCACATACAATGAGAGTCATTCTATACAGAAATATGAGAATAATTATCATCTCTACCAAATTTCTCTTTTATTAAATCGAAGTAACATTTTAAGGCGTTCCATTGATAAATTATATCAGTGATTTCTTAAAGATTGAATAAATATAGACGGATATGTCTTAATTTATATATTTTAAATAGCTGAATATAAAAACTTCACTATGGATAGACATACAGAGTATTTGACAAGTCTGAGCATAAAACAGTGGTAAATATCAAATATGTACATTAACGTGTCAATAAGAACATGAAAACACCCTCGGTATACCATCCTTATTCAACAGACAGATAAATTCAACCATCAACGTCTACTGTTTTACAACATAAAAAAATGTGTCGAAGTATTAGAAGTAAATTATTAGAGATTTCATGAGGAATTTTTGCATATTCCCTCTCCTTTTCGGTGCTATCGTAATTGGAAAGACTATTATACGAAAACTCATTCATACCGTATATTATTAGCCCTCTATCTATAAACTGTGGAAAAAAATAGTGGTAAAAAGAGTCGAACTGTTTGGAGACCATTCCCATAAAGGTTTAAATTGTTCAGTATATATAACTATAGCCAAAACATAGTCTGTATCCTTTTTGTGGGTAGTATCCTTTTTGCAATGTGCTGAGTGTATAAGTTCAGTCTTCGACAATATATATACGTCCTATAACACAATACTTGAGCATGTCAAAGAAAGCGAGGTTGAGACATGACCGATGCTAAAAAACACCTAAAAAAGTACACTGCTAATACAAAATAAGTTTGAAAATGGAATGATAGATATAAAAAGCACGCCATGGCGGTTTTTTGTGTTGGGAATCTAGAGCTAGAGATTTAGCATGTGTCTTTTGAATGCATGCATCATGATGCAGTTTTAAAAAAGCCATACCACCACAGATGCAACCGTAAAATGGTAATTGAAATCCAGAAACAGTTTGATATGTAATGATTTATCTCAAATGAAAACAATGTGCAGAAGCCTGTTATGTTCTTAATTTGCACCTGACAGTATTTACTATCAAAACTAACAGTCTTAAGGTGGATTTGCCATTAATCTTCTCTGAATCAATTATAATTTTCTTTTTGTAGTGATAAATCTGTTTTGAATGAGATATTTAACACACTATATGTTTATTTCACAAATAATGATGAGTTGTGTATTCTTTTAATGATTGTGGAAGTATACACTTCAACTTATTTCCTGTACATTAGTATAGCCATCTGTTCTGTAAGAGTGAAATATGCATGTACATGTAGATAGAAGTAGACTTTTTCATTTTTATCTTCAATTAACACAATTAATTTGCGCTAAATTTTCGTCAATTGATAAGAAGAAAAAAAAAAAAAGATTGAAAAATAGAAATATACGCGATTTATATCTTGACTACCAAACAAAGTTACGGTACATTGTTGGTGCATATAGCCACTCCTTTTTCCAACAGTACTATTCTTATTTCGAGATGGAATCTTACAAGAAACTAAAGTATACTTTTTAGAATAGAGGTATAAGAAAGATGAAAAAATTACCCATTAATGCAGTGTATCAGGGTCAATCCTTCATACCAATTTTCATGACTTCATTCTGATTTGAATGAAAATTGCTGCTAAAAGGTGATTTTTTTTATTTACTATAATTTCAATGAAATTAAGATAAATGGCCCATGAATGTGAACCAAATTTATGTTCATCCGGAGATAAACAATACTTAGATAATACATTTTTTCAATCAAAAATATGAATTACTTCGTTTTCCGTTTTACATACGTAATTGGAAGAGCATGTAGACAATGTTTGTTTTACTAGTGGGTTCAAATATTGATAAAGTTTTTACATATTTAATATCATTGAAACATTTATAGTACAAAAACGACCAGTTATTAGTAAAATACAATTATGATTCATTACGAAACTTTTTGTTTCAAAATGGAAGTTTCTCCGCCATCATGAATAAATTTCATCAATAGACTTAAAAAAAAAATACAGACATCTTTTTTTGTTTCAAATTAAGCATAACATTTTACAATGTTTTAAAATGTGAAAGAAGACTCTATTTGTAAACTGTACATTGTATACCAAACTTAATTTAAAAATCGTTAAAACTTTAACAAAAACAGTTAAAAACATTCAACAAAGTCAAAATATTCGAATGATGAACTTAAAAAGAGTGCTACGTTTTGTTGCAAATCCAAAATTAAACGATAATTTGATATCAACAAAAACAAAGCTCTTACCGTTTATCAAATGTCCTTGTTTTTATACAGGAAAATATCAATACAGATTTTCCGGAGTACACAAATTACATGAATTATGAATAAATGATACTTGACGAAAAGAAGCCATATGATTGGATGTTATAGCACACATGACCTTAACGACTTATCATTTCCTACAGCTGATTGACTTTACTAATAAGGCTTATTTATTGCTTATACATAATTGATAGTTTTTGTATAAACTGTGACAACAGCAGCTGTTGCAATGGTTATGAGGACAGTTTTTTTTGTAGATTTGTAAGACATACATTATGTATTGTTGCATTTCATCAGCTGGGAATATAAAAATAACGAGATGCGGTATGACTGCTATTGAGACAACTATCCACCAGAGTTCAAATGAAGTGGATGTAAGCAATAATATGCAACCGTACGGCCTTCAAAAATAAGAAAAAAACATATCTTATAATCGGCTAAAAAAGGTTTTGACATGAAATATGTGAGTAAAAATTCATGGGAATAGTATACTAGTGTCCATGCATATATTATGTCCCAGATTCCATTAACAAAATTCGCTTGGCGACCCGGCACAGAGGATAATTAACTATAAAATTGATGACAACGTGTAGACGTGCACAAAAGGCTACTTCGCAACGAATAAAGAATTATCAAAGTTTTTAGTAGATAAGTTTATTTAAAAATAGTAAAGTTTATTGTTAAGAAATGAACATAGTTATAAAGTTTACAACTCTAATATCTGTAAATTGCAACTTGGCAAGCTGAACTAGTTCGGTTTTTTCCAGGAAAAGATTGTTTTACTATATTTTTTTGTATCGTTCCAACTTATAATAGAATTAACAAAATGGCTCATATAAACTTTATTTCAGGACATTAACGCTAAATAGATGACCATATTTTAATTCTGGTAAATGGTGCTAGGAAAAAGAAAAGAAAATCAGGACCGGTGGCAAACTCCAAATACTAGTAACAAATGACCAACTGTGCTTTAGTCTTTAGTAAACTTTAATCATGTGTGACACGCTCGGAATATTCAAATATGTATAGTGGAAGTATGATTCCACATGCAAGAGTTAAAACAAACAAAAAATCGTATTTCACACCATTTTTGTTCACGGCAATATCATTTAAAAGCCTAACTAGTTTAAAAATTGTCCATTTAAATCATTCCTTTGAAGTGAAAGACTTAAATGCATGTTATAAATATACCGTTGTTATTCAATCATTGCGTCTAGTAATTTTTGGTAAGAACCCCTATAAAGTTAATTTAGAGCTTGAAGCAAGACTTTTATATTTTGCTTTTCTGCAGAGAAATTCATGTAAGGTTTGCTCTGGGCATTATACAATAATTTGCACCCCTCCCCGGTACTGTTTATGACTTTGCAGTGTCATATATACTCTGAAGTTTAACAACCGATTTGAGCCTCGGAGCGTATCACTTGTGAATTGTTGAATTTTTCGTGTTATTCCCAGCGATCAAATATGCCAAGAACTATAGAAGTATTAAAGTACAATGGATATATGTGTTTTAGAAAATTAAAACGTATCCTGTTCATATTTTTCGGCGACACAGAAGGTTTCAAAATAAACTAAGGAGTGGAGTCTTTGAGATGTTCCCCTCTGATTAATATGAACAATATGCATAGATAGAAACTTTAGACAAAAAGTAATGACGAACCTTAAGGCTATGCATCTCATTCATTGTAACAAAGCGTTGTTTAGACACTGTAATAATATTTTCTCTTTTGACAGTGTCTAAGTTAACATCTAAAACCATCAACTTTTAAATTTGTGTTACAAGCAAATTGGCCCATAGCTAAAAGTCTAATAGGTAAACCCGATATAAAACCAATATTTAAATAGTTTATTAATATTTTTTGTTCACAGAATTTCTTAAAATTTTAAGTGCCGAGTTTCTTTTGGTAATCAGTTTATAACGAAAAGAAATATCCTCTTTCTGTATATAGGGTAATTGTAACCATTTTTTTCAAACAAAAAGTATTCTCTTATCTTGTGCATAATATCAAATATCTCATAAATGGACCATGATTGGGGTGGGGGATGGCCAATTGTGCTCTTACTTTTCATTGTAGTGTACACATTTGTATCTATTTTAAGTTTGACCTCCCATGCTTGCGACCAGCATGCTACCATAAGACCACCAATAGAATGATTGTTATGTACAAGTCAAAGACGACAGAAATTCGTATAGATCTATCAGTGACTGAAATTTACCAGTATTTCATTCTAGCAAATTTTCCCCCTTTTCGTCTATTTAACATTAAATTACACTGAAATATTCTAGTCAAGAAAAATTAAGGTTTAAATCGTCTTGTTCTATTCCTTATCAAATATGTAATGGTAAATCAATATTAGGTTAGGAACCGAATCTAATTGGTGTTTCTGATGGTTTCAAAATGGTTATTGAGATGGCGAGGAATGTTGCCTTGATGATTTTGTTTATTCTTTCTCTTACTTTTTTTTGTTATTATAAAATTGAGAATGAAAACGGAGAATGTGCCAAAGAGACAACAACCCGACCAAAGAGCAGCAGAAGGTCACCAATGGGTCTTCAACACAGCGAGAAAATCCCGCATCCGGAGGCGGGCTTCAGCTGGCCCCTTAAAAAATGTATACTAGTTCATCGAAAATGGACGTCACACTAAACTCCGAAACATATAAATGAACTAAAATTAAAAATCATACAAGACTAACAAAGGGCAAAGATTCCTGACTTGGGACAGGCGCAAAAATGCAGCGGGGTTAAACATGTTTTGTGAGATCTCAACCCTCCCCCTATACCTCTAGCCAATGTGGAATAAAAAACACACAGCAATATGATTATGTCAAACACATTACATGGCCATGCATGTGCCTTTGCCCAGATTATTTACCGAGACTAAAATATACAAGTGTAAATTACATGAACTACTAGTAGGATGTAGGACTTAATATAAAAATAAGAAGATGTGGTATTATTGCCAATGAGACTACTATCAGCTAGAGACCAAATGACATAGATGTAAGCAACTATAGGTCACAGTATCACCTTCAACAATGAGCAAACCATTATGCATAGCAAGATAAAAAAGGCCAAGATAAGTTGACCAATATGATGTATGTCTGCGTCTCAAACTATAAGAGGAATGTTTTTGCAACATTAGATCGTAAGAATGATCTGTAACGATTCCCCATTTCAACATTTTTGACTAAGTCTTAATTGGCATATAATTATATGCATGTATATCAGATCTTTATCTTATCAACACACTAAATCTTATGAGATTATGACATTCCCTTAGGTTTTTTCTCTTGGTTTGGAAATTCAAAATGAATTTATCAGTTTTGAATATCAGTAATCTACTACTGCATCTGATCTCATCTATTTGTCTGAGAACAAAGTAGGGTTCTTATCACATTAAAATGTTCTCGTCCTTTTATGCATGTACTATTTGCTGCTGGACATAAAATTCCATCCATCATCATCTATGAAGAAGTGTTGTAATACAAAGTAGGCTTAAAATCACTTTAACATGTTCTGGTCCTGATATGCATGTAATATTTGCTGCTGGACATGAAACTCCATCCATCATCATTATCATCAACTATGAATAAGTATTGTAATACAAAGTAGGGTTAATATTACTTTAACATGTTCACGCCCTGATATGCATGTGATATTTGCCACTGGACGTTAAACCCCATCCATCATCATCTATGAAGAAGTGTTGTAATACAAAGTAGGTAGAAACAAGAAGATGTGGTATGAGTGCCAATGAGACAACTCTCCATCCAAGTCACAATATGTGAAAGTAAACAATTATAGGTCAAAGTACTGCCTTCAGCCTTGGCTCACACCGAATAAGCAAGCTATAAAGGCCCAAAACATGACTAGTGTAAAACAATTCAAACAGGAAAACCAACGGTCTAATCTATATAAAAAAACGAGAAACACTTAAAAACCACATCAACAAACGACAACCACTGAACAACAGGTTCCTGACAGGTGCACAGAAATGCAGTGGGTTTAAACATTTTAACAGGTGCAAACCTTCACCCTAACCTGAAATAGTAGTGTAACATTACAACATAGAATGACACACTATAAAATATCAATTGAAATGGCTTAACTCAATCAAAAAGACATTAAATAAAACAAGCAAACATACACTGAACAAATAAATTTGATCTATGAAACAATATATATACAATATTAAATAAAAAAGGGGGGATGTAAAACAATGTCAAAAAGACAACTATAACCTTGGACAAAATGGCGTTAAATAAAATATCGTACACAGGTAAATTTAAATATGATAATTTTGTTGTTAGGAGTACAGAAATATTTTTTACAAAATAAATAAATTTGGTTCATATCACTTTAATATGTTCTCATCCTGCTATGCATGTAATATTTGCTGCTGGACATAAAATTTCATCCATCATCAGCATCATCATCTATGAAGAAGTGCTGTAGTACAAAGTAGGGTTCATATCACTTTAACATGTTCTCATTCTGATATGAATGTAATATTTGCTGCTGGACATAAAATTTCATCCACCATCAGCATTATCATCAATGAAGAAGTGTCGTATTTAATAAACAATTTTACATCACAATTTTTGAAAAAAGTTTAATTTTAAAAGTAAATACTTAAGTACAAATGCTTAATATATATTAACTATATAAATTTTATAAACTAACAAAAAGATATTGAGCTATATATAATGTACTTCATCATCTGCAAGTAAATGTCAAAATAAAACTACTGTATATTTATAAGCATTTGAGATTAGAATACATGTTATTTTATCAGAGTTTAATGATGTGCATTCTGTACCGACTCACTCACAAACTGAATAAAAGTGTATACCAGACTTAATGTTAAGTTTGTGACTGAAAGATACACAAATAAACTCTGTAAAAATAAAACTTTTCTACTAATAACTCCAAAAGTTTATTTTGATATAATGTTTTTATATCATCAACATTTAAAAGAACCATTCGTCCTGTAGCAGGAATTTATACTTTTGACATCATGAAGGTTAATACATCAGTACATGTATAATATACAAATTTTGATTGCCATGATGCTCAAGAATGAGATTTTCTAAAAAAATATTAAATGATTCTAAAACTAGGATATAAATATTTGACTCACATTGAGATAAGAGGTCTTCTCTTTTTATAACAACCATTTCAGAGTGGTTGTATAGGCTCTTTATTTTTTTTCCAAATCTTAGCTCAATTAAGCCCCTTTCTTTCAAGAAACTTTAAAAACTTCCAAATAAAAAAAACAACATGTAAATAGACCTCAAGTAAAAAAATAATTGTCCACTTTTGAAGTGTCTCTATCTTAAAAGGAATTTTTGTTTTGGTTAAGATTGTCTTCTTATCCATTTTATTCATATATACTCCAAAAGTGAAAAATCGTTCAAACATGTTTGTTTCGTCATCTTTAAGCCTTTTAGGTATAACTATAATTTTGTTACATGTTCTGGAATACAACATAAAGTTGTTCTATCTAAAGTACATGTGTAGCTTTCATAATGTAAATTTTAGTAAAGATTGGAAGATTTCTTCAAAATGGCTCGTGTGAAATAAATTCATAGGGTATTACCCTATCTCTTAGCTTGCACATCATGAGGTTTCCTGAAATTGTCTTAGATTTTCAGTGTTGTTCAGGTAATAGACAAGTAATTAAATATTATTAATTAATTGCCCCAAAAATATATTGAACATGAGAATAAAATTGATCACAAGGACAACACAATCTGCAATGAACCAAGACTCATTTTTAAATTATATGTTGCTTGATTTAATATTTATCTAAATAAGCATGCACAATCCTCAGTAAATTCAATAACAAACAAAATGAATATGACAATAAAAAAAATAATCATGGACTACTTCTTGATTATAAAACATTATTTTTCACGTAAAAATGTACATTTCATAATTATTACTACAGTAACCGTAGCATATAAAAGATTATTATGTTGGAAGAAATGTTTTTTCAATATAAATGTAAAAAATTTGGCAAAGTGGAAAAGAGAGTTCTCTTAAGATTAATAAATGCATAAAACTTGAATATATTTTAACCACACAAAAAAAATCCTAAAAATTCAGACCAGCTGATATTCAACAGAGAAAGCAGAAGGTGTGTATGTTTTGGGAGTCAAAATGCACTTTTCTAAATTTTGATTCCCCCTCATAATTCAACAGGGCTACCCAAAATGTTACCTCCATCATTTCTAATATAATACTGCAACCAATGTAATAAAAGAAATATGTGCAAATTTTTTCCTTTCCATTAAGAATGATTCCCTTCTTCTGACCTATTTACACTTGTATGCAAATTTGTCCACCATTACTTCAAACAACAGAAGTTTCTGAAAAATATTGCATCACAATTTAAAACATTTTACGTCAGTTAAAAAGTGATTGTTGCCTGATGTCAGAAGGTAATTTGGAGACAGATCAAGGGTCATTCAGAGACAATTCAGCAAAATACCCCAAAAATTTTAAAACTAATGTCAGAAAAATTGTTATATATCTAAACAATTTAAAAATTTCCAAAGAAAATTGTTGCATATTCTGTTACAATAATACTGGAGTATGATAAATACATAAGTTTTAAAATATTGCACATTTAGTGTTTACTAAACCTTTATTTTTACCCATAGGTTTATAAGATGTTAACAAATCAAAATTATTTTTTTAAGATGATCATATCACATTTTCATGTGAAAAAATATCAAATAATATCATTAAATCATATTTTTTAACTTATAAAAAATAGAAGAAAAACATGATTAAAAACATTTGAAAGATTAAAAAATCATAAAAAAAAAAACTGTGATAAAAAAGTATGCCATTAGTTTCTGAATTAATTATAGATATTGCCTTAAATTTAAGATAAAATAATGATAAACTATCACTTGTATTATCATGAGCTATAACCCAAAGAACTACAACAGAAATCTTATTTAAAGGGAAGTAAATCAAATTACAAAAGAGAAGTTATCTGAATTCCATCAGGACTTTAAGAGAAAGAATTTAAATTCCATCTTTTTGTCATCAAAAGGAAATAAGTCTGAGACAAAGTTTTCAATCTTCTGCTTGTTCAAGTCCTCGTTTTGATAACTGCACTGCCCATGAAGACTCTTCTGCTTTATGAAGCAACAAAATCACTTGCTCTTTCTTGTACTACAAAAAACATAATAATAATCATTTATCATAATAATCATTTCAAACCTTCAAAGAAGGACACATTTACAATTTATCATTTCCTATAATCATGATAAAAAATTAACAATCAGCATTCAATCAATTATAATAATTACTGAATTAATCAGCTAAAACCACCCAAAACAGCATGTAAAAAAACACTTGAATTTTTTTTTGGAATACTTTCAATGGTATTTTTCAACACAGTGTAACTTATTGTTTAGAATGAAACTTCAAAGAAAGTTCTAATTTTTGTAGACTGGTATTACCGGAATTAAGTACCAGTAACCATAATTAGGTATAAAAAATGTTTATTTACAATCCAGTTTTCCCATGTAGACAGACCATGAGTTATGAACAAAGGTACAAACTGAAATAAACTCTCCCATAATGTTTAATTCATTTCAAATCCCAAGCGTATCACTGGAATGGAAGACCTCAATGTAGACCTATTTAAAAATGTCCAAATATCTAATATAGTAAAACATGGTAAAAACCTCCAACAATTTAAGACTTTAAATTAATCCTCATTGAAATTGGTTAAAAGATTTGTATTTATTTTCAATTGAAGATTTCTTGCTGTTGTGCAATACTTTGCTGTTGCGCAATACTTAGTAAATCTGTTTACAAACTAAATATAATAATTTACACACCCTGTTTGGTGTGTATCTCCTGCCATATCAGTATTTTAATTTCTTTATATAGATCAGAAATAATTTATGTTAGAACCAGCTTAGCCAGTATTAAAAAAGTCTTGTTTTTGGCCCCTATTTGGCCTCTAGTTTCTTAACGATTAAAGCCTCAACCCACAAGATCAACCCCCAACCTTATGTGTGTGGTATGGAACCTTGTGGTACAATTTCATAGAGATCCATAAACTAATACTTAAGTATTTGTCCGGAAACCAGAAAAGCCTTGTTCAAACCAGAAAAACCTTGTTCCTCCCCCCTTTTTGTCCCTTATTCCTGAACGGTTTGAGCTCAAACCCCCAAAGTCAAACCCAACCTTCCCTTTGTGGTATGGAACCTTGTTTCAATTTCATAGAGATCCATAGACTAATACTTAAGTAATTGTCCATTAACCAGAAAAACCTTGTTTACACCCCCCTTTTTTCCCCCCTAATTCCTGAACGGGTTGGGCCATAACCCCCTAAGTCAATCCCAACCTTCCCTTTGTGGTATGGAACCTTGTGGTACAATTTCATAGAGATCCATACACTTATACACAAGTTATTGACTGGAAACTAGAAAAATGCCTTTTTTGGCCCCTTTTTGACCCCTAATTTCTAAACAGTTGGGCCTGTAACCCCCAAAATCAATCCCAACCTTTCTTTTGTGCTATTGAACCTTGTGGTTAAATTTCATAGAGATTCATTCACTTATACTCAAGTTATTGTCCGGAAACCAAATGTCTTCGGACGACGACAACATGATAGCAATATACCTAAGCAAAATTGTTGCGGTCATATAAAAACTTAACATTGACCAATGAACCATGAAAATGAGGTCAGGGTCAGATGATTACTGCCAGACAGACATGTAATCCTTACAATCTTTCCATACACCAAATATAGTTGACCTATTGTTTATAGTACTTGAAAAACCGACCAAAACATAAAAACTTAACACTGACCAATGAACCATGAAAATGAGGTCAAGGTTGGATCAAACCTGCCAGACTGACATGAACATATTACAATCATTCCATACACCAAATATAGTTGTCCTACTGCTTATAGTATTTGAGAAAAGGACCTTATCACGTAACTTTAACCTTGATCACTGATCCATGAAATGAGGTCGAGGTCAAGTGAACTCTGTCTGACAGACATGTAGACGTTGCAAGGAACCCATATACCAAATATAGTTATCCTATAACTCATAACAAGACAAAAAAACTCAATTTTTTTTTCAAGCAGTCACTGAACCATGAAAATGAGGTCAAGGACAATGGATATATTATTGACGGAAACTTCGTAACATAAGGTATCTGCATACAAGTTATGAAGCATCCAGGTCTTCTACCTTCTGAAATATAATAAAGCTTTATACAAATAGTTTACGCTGCCGCTGGATAGTAATACCTATGTCTCCCATACTGCGACTTTCATCGCAGGCGAGACAAAAAACCAAATAAGATTTTCTTTCTTCAATTCTTGTAAACATATTGTAATAAGTGGTGCCCATTGGACCTGGTTTGACCGAATTTTATTATTACCTCAGTTTTACATTTTTCTGGCACAATATCTCCAGGAAGTTTCTTCACAGTATATCTAAATTTATTTTCCTTTTCCTTCTTTTTCACTACAGCTGTCACTTCAAAAGAACTGTAAAAATAATTAACAACTTGAATACTGTGGATTCTTTAATATTCGTTGGATATGGATTTCATGGATACAGGGGAACCACAAATTTAAATATTCAATGAATTACAAATTTCTGAAAGGAATATATATGCCATGTATGCAGACTTTGCCAAAACCACGAAATTAAATATCCATGAAAATGCAAGATTTCCTCAATCCATGAAAATTGGTACCTACGAAAATAAATGAATCCACAGTATATTGATAAATGATATTGTCATTGACAATATTGCCTACATGACCTATGAGTGAGGCTATGACCCAACGAATAATTAAAATTATTTTTTGAGAGATATCTTGGTGAAAAGGCCTTATAAGAAAATATTTAAAATATGAAACCCATTCCAAAATGAAATATAACCCTAATGAACTAAAAGCATATGAACATGATCCTGAATATAAATGCCCTTACACTTACAGTAAATTAGAAAGACAAATATATACCAGTTAAACTAAATATTCATGATATTATTTTATCATGGTTTTTTGTTTGAAATGTTTTACATATCTCTATGTCAGTCTGTTTTATAGCTTACTATGCAGTATGCATTTTGTTCATTGTTGAAGGCAGTATGAAGATCTTTAGTTGTTTACATCCTTGACATTTGGTCTGGTGGATAGTTTTCTCATATGAAATCATAAAACACCTTATTTTTTACATTTATATTTACATTCTCTAAAAGACATAGTATAACTTGCATCTTTAGATCTGAAACATAACTCGATCTTAAGCCTTACTTGTTTTCAAATTTAGGCACGACAGTAGCATTCTTTTTAGGTTTAGCAGCACTAAACATCTTGGAGGTCACTTCAAGGTCAGGGATGATCACAACAGCTCTGACAGTGGTTAAATCTATCTCCTCAGCTGTCACTGGAAATACACATAACAAGTATTCAAATTTTCTTATAGAAAAACTTTAGTTGTTCAAAAATATAATTAAAATTAGTTCTCTGCACTTGCTCCTAATTTTCATTCAGTTGTTTATATGTCACGCTCCCACGCGCGACATATAAACAACCGAACAAAAATGAGGAGCAAGTGCGGAGAACTAATTTTAATTAGATTGGTTGTTCAAACAATTTTGGCAAACTTTTTACCCTGCATTAAATAATATCATTGAAAGTTTTGGACCTAGAAAAAACATCACTCTTTTTTTTGGGTATTGATCCAAAGATAATATCTCCTTGTATACATATATATATATGGGGAAATCAACCTCAACTTGACATCTTTCAACAGCTATGAGGATCTGGATGGGATTTACAGAATAGAAAATAATGGCAAGAAATAAACATACAAATTAAAGAATAAAGAAAGCATCTAATGATGGAAAAAATCAAAGAAGGGAAAAAGTATCTGTATGCATGTACATTGTACATGTACAACATGTAACTGATCTGCAGTGATTTTCCAAAGACTGCTACTGAACATTTGGTCCTGCTTCTATCAGCCTGTACATGACCAATTAATTTTTACTATACACTTTGGCTGATGTTGAACCATACATGCCATACTAGACCTAACCAAATTCTAGATTTTTGCCAATATCTGATGAATTTTCAATGGTATTATTAAACATGGTGTCTAAAGGAGACAAAGATTGATTATAATGTAAATGTTGACCAATGTTAAGTGACAATAGCTCCCATGGCCCTATGGTAACTGATTCATGTACATGTACAGGCCTTACTATTTCCTGATACCAACATTTTTATGGGACATTTTTTTTCAATACGAAAAATTATTTAAATTACGAAATAATTATTTCATGCCATGTACTATGCTAAATTAATATGGGAGGGCATTTTACTTTGTAAATGTCTCTCATGTCTCTCTACCGACATGACCAAGCTTTAGCATGGTGCAAAATATTGACAAATTTAATGCCTATCCATTTTGAAATAAGCACAGAGCATGCCATTAAAAAATTGTTTTGAATTTGATAGGAAAATTTGAATCTTTTTATCGTTTGAAGGGTCTTATAGAATATGTTCCAAAGGCTGTTATTTTGATTTCATGAAGCTAAAAAGTTCGAAAAATACAAATAGAATTTCTTTTTTATTGATTTTATTAAATTTCATGACAAGTGGCAATCGTGGAAATGTTTATTTTGATCATGTTGATCTCCAGCATCGTACCTGCCAACTCTCCTGATTTATTGGGGATTTCTGTAATGACAGACTTGAAATCCTCAATTATTTAAATGAATACTTCCAAAAAGGCAACAAATAGTATTAAAAGTACTCTTTAACACATGGCTACTTTTTCAAAACCATAGAATATTAGATTAATTTCACTTCAGACATTCATTTGGTACCCTTAAAATTACCCATGGCCATGATGGATATTTTGAAAAGTTGGCATGTACAAGCTGCTTTGTTCAAAATAAACTTGGTTTCAATACCATGCACGTAGCACATGTTCCTCATGTTGTATTGCATTTTAGAATAGGAACATGGCTTTTTTGACAAAGCCAAGAAAGAAAGAAAGATATATCAAAATTTTGTCAGAGAAAAAAAACCATTTACATTCAATGATTAAAGATACCAATTTTTTATCATGTTTTACATGTTTTATGCATTTCAATAATCAATGTAATACAGTAGACTCCGGCAAATTGGATACCCAAAATGTCAGCTAAAAATATCCGATTATCCGATATATTCAATTAGACGATGAATGTATATTCATTGAATAGTCTGCAATAATGAGTAGATCTAATCCTGAGATGTTACTAACCCTGACAATTGCTAAATATGTGAAAGGGCTGGAGGATTGATGGAGTGATTTTTATCAGTTACATCACCACGATGTTTTTTAAAAAGATTTCAGCTGATTACATAATGATGAAATTTGTTTGCAGTTTTTAAATCCTATATTTATTAAAATAAGTCAGATTTCTCTTGTCAAAAGGGATTTATATTTATATTGCAATAAATTATTCAGAAGGAGGTACATTCAGTTTACATTATATTTCTGGTTGTGTGAGCATTTAGAGTTTTATCAAAATTCCCCAAACAGCATCGTACTGCTCTTGTCAACTGACGAGTCTTGTAAATTCAAACCATTTGAAGTAAAAGGGCATCTAATTCACATGATAAAGGAAGACACTGAATAAAGACAACAATTTATTAAGAAATAGTTCCTTTTAATTTAGTAAAAACGAAATCTTCTTGTCTGCAGGATTGTTAATTCGTAACTTCCGGGTTCATTTCCTGTCAGAAAAACATTGAAAATATCCGATTGTGCATGGTTTTGAACAAAATTACCTGAATATTCTTATCCGATTTGCCGATATATTCTTATATCCGATATTCGATTACCCGATGAAATTAACATTAAACATATAGGGAAGGGTTTGGTGTTTTGAAATAATATTACAATAGCCGATATATTCGTTTAGCCGATATCCGATTAGGTGGAGTCTACTGAAGTGAAAATTTGTAAAAATCTAAAAGAAATACAAATGCTGAACTGTTGAAGAGCTGATAAAAATAAAGTCAAACCCAGAAGAGAAATCAGATATGCATTAGGGAGGTCCTACATGCATGACATGTCATATACAAACGCACATTATTTAATTCAAACTTATTTTCAAAATTTATTATAACGGTAAGTTTCAATATTAAACAAAAAATGTCTGTATATAAGTCTCTGTCATGTCTGAGGGTCTGGATGGGTCTAATAGATATAAGAAGATGTGGTTTGAGTGACAATGAGACAACTCTCCATCCAAGTCAAAATTTTATTTTATAAAAGTAAACCATTACAGGTCAAAGTAAGGTCTTCAACACGGAGCCTTGGCTCACACCAAACAGCAAGTTATAAAGGGCCCCAAAAATTACTAGTGTAAAACCATTCAAACGGGAAAAATAATCATTTATTATTAGAAAATCGCATCTTTTCCTCCAGAACTCAAACCCAGAACCTCTGTGCTACAAGTCAAAGAAGTACATCCCTAGCTTAACGGCTAAGGGCTGGCTCTATATCTAATATTCAAGGGAAGCAATCCCATCACAGAATACAGAAACAATCACATGAAGACCCCATCTAGGAGGGTAGGAAAGCCCTTAACCGTCAGGCGTCAAACGGTCATTTTCAGCTACTGCTGGCGTCAAATTGGTTAATATTTTCAAAGAATCATGATAATGTTATCCTTATCCTCTGATGATAAGGATATTCACGATAAGGATATATCGTGAATATCCTTATCATCAGAGGTCTCAAATAATTATCCTTTAACGTTATTTTTTGGAAAGAATATTACGTGATTCGTCGAAATCAGTCGATTTTTGTTTATCATCATTATGGAAATGTACATTTTATTGTCATGCACCAAAAATTACCATTAATGTCATTTGACAAGATTTTTTATCGTTATTCGTCATGAAGGTACCCCCATGTCGACCCTCATATCTTTTTTTCATCAAATCTAGATAAAACCTTAAATTCAAAGGCTGTGTCATTCTATTTGGATGATTAAATGCTGGATTTACTTGCTAATTTGGTAGACGTCACAAAAACCTGACGACTGTCCTTCCCCCTAGTCCATAGTACTATCCTCCCCCCTTTTTCTATCCATAAACAGAAACCTATGTCCAAAAACTTGAAAAAGTTTTTTACTCCGTCAACCCATCATTCTTTTCCTTCAGAAATAAATTATTTCCAAAACCAACGTTATTTAAATTAAGTCGGAGTGCTCGTTGTTTCAAATATGCTAAAAGTTTTTACCTGTTGGAATGCGAAACTCTTCGCCTTCGGCCATAATGCTATTGTGATTAACTCCCTTGACTGACTAAACCGAAAGTAGGCGTTCAGAAAAAGAAAGTATCACTGATAACTCGCCCCATTTCCGAATCGCACCAGCTTTCTACAAACTCGCCCCGAATGAAATGTGTTAAATGTTATATACATGTATATGTATTGTATGGTCGTATGTGTTTTGTAGTTAAGTCGTGAGAGTTGTGTCCCTTTGTATGATGATGATGCATATTTGATGTGATGTTATCTGTCTCTTTGAAATAAACGTGCTATGGAAATAGATGTTTTTGTTGCTCTGAAGCAAATATAACTTTAGCGGCATGGGGAGGCAAGTATATGTCCCCCCCATGTACGTAATATGGTGGAGGACTTCAAAACGGTCCCTTTGAGTGTATTTTATATGAGCTGTCCCCAAAGATGAAGAATCAACTTTCTAAAAGTCTAAACCACGAGGCTGGCGGCGCCATTATTAAATTTTGACCACGTTGAAATCTTGAATTTTCGTTCAGTGGAGTATAGCAGTACCATGCAGTTGACACTGGAACCAATTTTTGGATTTTATGTTAAATTTTGATGTTTTTAATTTGGATTTAGCCAATATTCAGAAGTCACCATGGGAGTTTTCGTCAACAAAAGAAAACGGTAAAATTTAAGGAACTGTTTTTAAACTACATTGTACATGCATATTAATATCAAAAGTATTTCGCAATTGTTTATTGTCATCTGAACTTTAATTATCATTTGGACTGTTGGACGCGATCGAAATTTCTACACAAACAATTAAACTTTTAACCGCAATTTGGCGTTGGTCTAACATCAAGAAATACAGCTGTGTATGTTTATGTGTGCAGAAAACTGTAGCATGTGTCATGTGACGTCCCGGCCTATCATCTTACAGTACTTGGAAAATAGTTGCTTAGTAATTGGCATTATCTTTAGTAACTAATCAGCTTGACCTATATGTGTATTTAGGATTTAGCAGGGAAAATGTGTTACAGTTTTGAACTATTTAAATTCTACAGCAGACGGTACGTGTGAGATTTATCTCGTCGTACGCTACCCAAGGACAAACACGGACTTATTTCGAATATTAATTATGAATTCAATTTTGTCTCAAGGATTTTTCTATGAATTATCTGGTATGAGTGTATTGTTTATACACAACATTTCTGTTAACAGTTGGACTGATTTGACAGCGGATTGTCAGTAGCGATGGGATAATAGTCATAAATAAAACCTAGGTTGATATTGACATTTCTTGAGCTTTTCATTTGTTTCATCTTTATTTTATTTTTGTGAGCGTGAAGTATGAGAGATTGGACATGTTAGAGAGGGAGAATTAGTCGTATTTTCTTTTACTGACATATGTTACTTAATTATGAAGTGTTTCATTGATGTAATATTTACCATTTTTTTTAAGAGTTAAAGGTCTCTGATGATTATCTATCATTTTGTTGTATACAGCTACATTTATGACAATATTCTAGTATTTTCCATTTAGTAGACTGAGTAAATGTATCAAATGCATATTTTTTTTTTGTGTTGTTGAATGGACGTAATGCGTGCATAAGGTCCTAAGGGGGAGATCGAGATGCCAGACGTTCGGATTTTTCTGCATTGTTGATACTGGTGTGTATGCCAATGGATGCTGGATGTGAGAACTGGTCAGCCACGAACATTTCAGTTATCATAAATGTATTTACAATGATTATTTGGAAACTGATTTTAGTCTTATACGGAAGTGATTATATAGTTTGAATTTATAGTGCAATTTTTCTTCTTCTTGAAATTGTATATGGATAAAACACATACACCTTTTTGATAAAATTTGGGAAATTTTCTTTTTGGGGGCGGGATGTTATATACATGTATATGTATTGTATGGTCGTATGTGTTTTGTAGTTAAGTCGTGAGAGTTGTGTCCCTTTGTATGATGATGATGCATATTTGATGTGATGTTATCTGTCTCTTTGAAATAAACGTGCTATGGAAATAGATGTTTTTGTTGCTCTGAAGCAAATATAACTTTAGCGGCATGGGGAGGCAAGTATATGTCCCCCCATGTACGTAATATAAATCCCGCTAATGAATGCCTGCCAACTCGCCCATTGTTTTAACTAAGAGGAGCACACCGTCTTTAACTTGACTCACGTACGGGGCAAAATTAGTTCAACTTTATTATCTGAAAATCATATTACTTACTATAGATTTCCGTCACAGGCACTTGTTTCTATCCATGGGAAAATCCACTATCACTATGATAGTGGATCTTCCAATGGATAGAAACAAGTCTCGTCCCCTTCAACAATATGATTGGTGTGTAACTTTTGTTTAAAAGTCCAAAATGTGCCTCACATTATCTAACGCAAAAATCTGCTTCAGAAACTAGAAACCTTATTTATATTAATTCTTTATGTCATGCTCTATGCTTATTTTAACATGTGTTTGTCGATATTTTGCACTCGATCACTGAGCGTAAGCAAGGTATAAAATATCAACAAATATAATGCGTAAGCAAGGTATGAAAAATCGACAAATATAATACCCACCCATGTTAAAATGAGCATAGAGCATGAAATGAAGGAATTATTTCGATTCTCATACAACAAATATGGTATTTTTATAGGTCGAAGCGTACGAAAATACCTTAGGAAAGTTTGGCTGTTCCCATTTTCTCCCCATGAGTTATGTACGTTACATTGTCATATTCAATAAGTTTAAAATTTAATAGCAGGGTAAATATGTGATGTTTGAATTTTCGATAACAATATATAATGAAATTTTATGTAAGCAGCTAATATATATATATTTTATTAGGAAACAAATGAAAATTAGAATACTTGGTTCACTGATTTTAGAATAAAAAGCGATAAGTTATAAGCACGTCATGATGCAACGTGTCAAATACATAAAGAAAACAAATTATTCTCAACATACGAGGGTAAGCACACAAACGAGGACAGCTATTTAAAACTTTATCCATTGATGAGGTAGAACAACTACTCAAAAATTGACAATAAACACTTCAAACTACATCTCATATTTTTGTAGTAAAATTAAGAATGGAAATGGGGAATGTGTCAAAGAGACAACAACCCGACCAAAGAGCATAAGGGCTTCAGCTGGCCCCTAAAACAAAAAAGTGTACTAGTTCAGTGAAAATGGACGTCACACTTAACTCCGAAACATTTAAATGAACTAAAATTACAGCTTTTCTATAAAAGCATGCAAAGCAATCTTTTGAGTCGACTTGCTTGCTATGTTTGCTTTGATGTTTGTAAACAAAAGGGTAGGCGGAGTTTCAGTCTGTAAAACAGTTTAATATATACTGGTTTTTGATTGGACAATAAAAATTGACATACAATGTGAAACTTAACATTTAAATGAAGTTAATGTTTATTGTCCAATCAAATTCCAGTATATAGTAAACAGACTGAAATAGACTACCTACCTGTTGTTTACAAACATCCAAACAAACATAGCAAGCAAGTTGATCAAAGGTTTGTTTTGCATGCTTTTATAGAAAAGCTGTAAAAAAAACATACAAGTCTCAAAGGCCAGATCTCGCGGCCTCTGACTTGGGACAGGCACAAAAATGCGGCAGGGTTAAACTTTTTAACATGTTTTGTGAGATCTCCAACCTCCCACACGTGAGAGGTTTAGCTAGCTATAAAACCAGGTTTAATCAACTGTGATATTCATGACTTAGTACAGACATTTCCTTATGTAGAAAATGGTGGATTAAACCTGGTTTTATAGCTAGCTAAACCTCTCACTTGTATGACAGTCGTATAAAATTCCATTATATATGATCCAAGTTAATGAATCGGAAAATGCAGGTATGATTGATTTAATCAATGAATTTTGTTAATCAATGAAGCATATGTTTTTTTGGCAGAATCTATTTTTAACATGCTTACTTCTGTTACTTATTCTGACATCGGACTCGGACTTCTTTTAAACTGAGTGTTACTGTGCGTATTGCTGTGTGTTTGTTTATTCTACATTGGCTAGAGGTATAGGGGGAGGGTTGAGATCTCACAAAACATGTTAAAAAGTTTAACCCTGCCGCGTTTTTGCGCCTGTCCCAAGTCAGGAGCCTCTGGCCTTTGAGTCTTGTATGTTTTTTTAATTTTAGCATGTTTAGTTCATTTATATGTTTCGGAGTTAAGTGTGACGTCCATTTTCACTGAACTCTAGTACACTTTTTTGTTTAGGGGGCCAGCTGAAGCCCTTATGCTCTTTGGTCGGGTTGTTGTCTCTTTGACACATTCCCCATTTCCATTCTCAATTTTATTACAAAAATATGAGATGTAGGTTGAAGATTTATTGTAAATTCAATGGATAAAGTTTTTAATAGCTGTCTTCATTTGTGTGCTTATCCTCGTGTGTTGAGAATAATTTTTTTCTATATGTATTTGACACATTGCATCATGACGTGCTTATAACTTATCTCTTATTATTCTAAAATTAGTGAACCAAGTATTCTAATATGACGTCCTTTAATAGTTTACAAACAAAGCCGTGTTCTAATTATCACAAAATATGTTTGACACATGCGCACAAACTTACTGTTTACATTCTCTTTACTTTCATTTGTATCCTAATAAAATATATATATATTAGCTGCTTACATAAAATTTCATTATATATTGTTATCGAAAATTCAAACATCACATATTTACCCTGCTAATAAATTTTAAACTTATTGAATATGACAATGTATATATATAACGCACATAACTCATGGGGAGGAAACGGGAACAGCCAAACTTTCCTAAGGTTTTTTCGTAAGCTTCGACCTATAAAAATACCGTATTTGTTCTATAAGAATCGAAACAATTCCTTCATTTCATGCTCTATGCTCATTTTAACATGGGTAGGCATTATATATTTGTCGATATTTTATACCTTGCTTACGCTCAGTGATCGAGTGCAAAATATCGACAAACACATGTTAAAATAAGCATAGAGCATGACATAAAGAATTAATATAAATAAGGTTTCTAGTTTCTGAAGCAGATTTTTGCGTTAGATAATGTGAGGCACATTTTGGACTTTTAAACAAAAGTTACACACCAATTATATTGTTGAAGGGCAATCCTGAGCAGTGAACTCAAACTTTTATGTCGAAGCGAAATATCAAACCCAACAAAAACTACACACACTTATCTGGTATTTTTGCATAAACTGACAAAATATTAATTGATAGTACATTTTGCAAATCAAATTTATCTGAAGAAACTACCTTTATAAAAATAAGAAGATGTGGTATTATTGCCAATGAGACAACTTAACACCAGATATCAAATAACGTAGAAGCAACTATGAATCAATCACCAATGGTGTTAAAGTTAATAATTTCCAATGACAGAATTTGGTTTATATTAACATACAAGACTTTCATACCACAAATTCAACAAATATCATTATGATTGTAATTTGATCTTAAACTCGCTCCGTCACCACAACTTAACTAAATCACACAAATGGTATATCCGGTTGAATTAACTGAGCTGCTTGGATGCATAGTGTTAAATAGGAAGAAGTTGACTTTGGATCTCAAAGTCAATTCCAGCACTTTATCAGTCAAACTGACTTGGAATCAAGTTGTGAAACCTGATATAAAGAATGAGACACAACACAACAAGGCTCTTTAAAGAAGAAAGCTTTACCTTCTACAAACAGAAGCTACGCTCAACGTCTCGCCCAGTGAACGGAGAAACGGGTAACTGCTGCTTTAAGCTCACCAGTAGCTGATACTGCTTCAACAGCCTTTGAAATGGTACATTGAGCAGAATAAACAATCACTAGTCAAAAAGTCAAACCAACTAGGAGCAGTCTACGCAACATCAACAGGATATCCGAGGCGTATACTGATATAGTGCCGTCGAGATTTAAGAGGAAAAGCAAGGTGAAAGAAAGTATAAATTTAGTAGATAGTCCGTTTATACCAAACAGAAAATGTATAGAAATATGTTTCAAAGCTGGTACAACAAAGTACTCTGATGCCATTGACATTAATGATCCAAAATTCACACGTAGATTTACTCCTGATAAAGGACCACACCAATAGAAAGATTTAAGATTGGGAGTTAAATCCTATATAGTACAGAGTGTGCAATACCTTGCAAGGTACTAGTCAAACGTTAAAAACTAACGACGACCACAACCATACCACAAATTGAATACAAGATTGATAGACAATTAATGGGAAGACTTTTCGAATAGCATTTTCCCTGGAATACTGGTATACGAAAAATATAAACTCGTTGTCGACCAACTTTGTGATGGAGTATGACGACAGTCTTCGGATGTAGTAGTTTACATATAAGATTTTATACCTAATTGCGACAATCATGGCACCATCTCATTTGTTTTCGTCTCTCTCAACAGTTTTTAGACTTATAATTAATTTTGAAATAAAAAGGAAAATGTCTCCTGTCAATACTATTAGTTACATAGTGTGCTATTGACCTAATACGATATATATGGGGTCAACAAATTCCATATGGGGTGATCAATACCGTTAGTATTAAGACAAACAATAACAACTTGTTAGCTTTAAATATGTTTTATGAATTTATTTCAATCGTTCATCATCAATTTCTTCGTCTGTTGAAACCTTTAAGATTTTTCTTCAACACCGTGTTGTTTTTATAAAGGGACGTAACACCACTACTAATCGTGTATTGAAATAACCCCCGCCTACTAACCCAATATGGAATATACACGGTCTCCACGCGGTTGCTTTTAACCAATCATATTCCCAGAAATGTATAGGAAGTAAGATAAATGTATATACAAAGTATGACACTGCTATTCAACCTGTATAACATAATGAAATCATTTGCATTGGCTTGAACTTTGATCTTAATGTTTTTTGGGACATTTCACATGTATTGTTTTCATTGGCACTAACATCGATTTTGTCATCAACAAATTAAAACAGAACTAAATTTATATTCTTTTCGAATGGGTTTTTGTGATGTATATATACACATCCACGTTTATTTTCTATTTAGAAATTGTTTTATCTATTATATATAAAATCATACATATTTATTATAAAGTTGAATCCTAACTTTCCTACTGCCTGTCGTTACTTTTATTTTTACATTGCGCTAGTCATGTCTTCTTTGACAGTCCATGACGTTAAAATACTAAATCCCTTTCCGGGATGTGTTTTAATTGATTTTTGCCTCTGATGCATGATTTTTTATTATTAATTGTTTTTGGCTTTTAACTAGCTTCCAGTAACTGCGATTACTCTCAAATCGTACTTTCGTGTTAATTTGACATGTTGTAATGCATTTTTGTTATTCAATGTTTACTTATTTTGTGTTATATCTCGTCTTACTTTTTTTAATATGTACCACCTTTGATAATTATTTAGTATGATGATAAATTTTCACTTCTGTACTCGTACTATGAACAACAAATTTATTTTGTGAAAAATGTTTCTGTACTCCTAACAACAAAGTTATTATTTTTAAATTTACCTGAGTACGTTACTTTATTTAACGCCATTTTGTCCTAGGTTAAAGTTGTCTTTTTGACATTGATACATCTTTTTTTATTTATATTGTGTCATAGATCAAACTTATTCGTTCAGTGTATATTTACTTGTTTTTGTGTATGTCTTTTTGATCGAGTTAAGTCATTTCAATTGATATTTTATTGTGTGTCTTTTTATGTTGTAATGTTACACCACTGTTTCAGGTTAGGATGAAGGTTAATTGGCGCCTGTTAAAACGTTTAAACCCGCTGCATTTTTATGCACCTCTCCTAAGTCAGGAGCCTATTGTTCAGTGGTTGTCGTTTGTTGGTGTGGTTCATAAGTGTTTCTCAGTTCTCGTTTTTTATATAGATTAGACCGTTGGTGTTTAGTGGTTGTCGTTTGTTGATGTGATTCATAAGTGTTTCTCGTTTCTCGTTTTTTATATAGATTAGACCGTTGGTTTTCCTGTTTGAATTGTTTTACACTAGTCATTTTGGGGAACTTTATAGCTTGCTGTTCGGTGTGAGCAAAGGCTCCGTGTTGTAGGCCGTACTTTGACTTATAATTGTTTACTTTTTATACATTGTGACTTGGATGGATAGTTGTCTCATTGGCACTCATAACCACATCTTCTTATTTATATATACCGTATCAATAGGTTTTATCTTGTTGATAATTTGGAGACACTCTCTTCCATGTATGAATTAAAAGAAATATCCCATAAGAAAGACTAGAAAGAAGCACATAGACGCACCTTAAACTGTTAAAACCCCCATCAAGAGTTGGTTGACCGTTATGGAATATCCGTAGATATAGCGGATATGTTCCTAATGTCGTAACTACAATCCCGTCCCCCCTTTTCCCGAATGTGACCTACCGAATTAGACTTAATACCGGGTTTGTACTAACATGAGCAACACGACGAGTGCCACATGTGGAGCAGGATCTGCTTACCCTTGCGAAGCACCTGAGATCACCCCAGTTTTTGGTGGGGTTCGTGTTGCTTAGTCTTTAGTTTTCTTTGTTGTGTTTTGTGTACTATTGTTTGTCTGTTTGTTTTTTTTTTCTTTTTTAGCCATGGCATTGTCAGTTTATTCTCTACTTATGAGTTTGAATGTCCCTCTGGTATCTTTCGCCTCTCTTATATAACAAACCAAAAACAAAAAGTCATAGAATTATTCTTTAATTTTATGGATAAACACATATTCTTTGTACATTATTTTTGGAGATAAAACAAGACACAACAGAAAGACATTTGTATAGTACTATAAAGACATGAAGTGAACATAAGCAAGTAGAACAAGTTTCACAGATACTGTAGGCAATATTCAAAATATTTGAGAGTAGGATGATTATGAGTAGTACATGTACACATTTGATTGACTTGTTCAGAACTTTAATGTAACAGTTATGTTATGTAAACAAATAAATGTGGAATGTGTCCATGGGACACAGATGATGCCTCCGCTTGCATATCATATAAAGATATAAAGGGACATAACCGAAGAAAGGAAGAAGTGACGCTACCCAAATTTGTACTTGATCTGAGTTTTGTGGTAATAAGCATTGTGTATCAGCTTCATAACATTTGGTTGAGACAAACTAAAGTTAGAGAACGGAAACGAAAAATTCAGGAATTTTTCCATTTGTAAAGAGCATAACTCTAGAACGATTAAAGTGACACCACCAAAATTTAAAACTAATCTGTGTTTTGTGGTAATAAGCATTGTGTATATTAAGCTTCAAAACAATTGGTTGAGACAAACCTAAGTTAGAGAACGGAAACGAAAAATTCAGCAATTTTTCCATTTGTAAAGGGGCATAACTCTAGAACAGTAAAGGTGACACCATCAAAATTCCAACTTGATCTGTATTTTGTGGTTATAAGCATTGTGTATAAGTTTCATAAAATTTGGTTGAGGAAAACTTAAGTTAGAGAACGGATTACCAACTTTGGGACGTACGGACGGACAAGGGTAAAACTTAATGCCCCCTCCGCTACGGCGGGGGCATAAAAACTGCTTTTATACATAGACACATATACTTCATAATTACGCAAACCATTATGTTTCATTTCAATTGCACAATATTAAACTAAAATCACAATTATATTGGTTTTTTTTGGAAAGTTTTCACTTAAACTTAAATATATTGCAGGCCAAAGAAAAAAGGCATTTAAACGAAAACAAAGTTAGTTTCCTTTTACATTATAGAACATTTCTTCACAGTTTGAACCACTACTTTTGCAGCTCCTTTTATTCCTGTCCATATTTGGGAAAACATATCTTCTTCCTTTTCAATCCCTTTTCTAGAGTTATCACGTAAAGCGGATGCTTCCTGTTGTCTCCTATAGCTTTCTTCCACATCCCGAACTTTCCGTTCGTTTTCCCTTCTCAAATCCTCTAGCTGTTGTTCTCGTCTACGCTCGTTATCTTCCATTTGTTTCTGTAGTTGCGTTATTCGGTCTTCGTTTGCTTTATTGGTTTGCATTTGTGCTTGTTCTGCTTGCTTTCTTTCCATATCACGTAGCTTTCGTTCCAACTTTTCTTCTTGTTCTTTATTTCGGGTTTCGTCTTGTTGCTTACAATCTCTCAGCTCATTTTTTAACGCAGTTATTTGGTCTCTTGTTTCTGCTTCCCGAGATTCTGCTTTCTTTTTTTCAATTTCGATTTCCTTGATTTCATCGGCAAGCTTTTCTTTTTCCTCATTCGCCATTGCAAACTTTTCATCAAATTCTATTTGAAGATGGCGGTGAAGGGTTTCTACTTTTCGTCGTTCCTCTTCCTTCAACTTTCTCTTTACTTCATCTTCACGTCTTTGCAGTGTTTTTTCGGCTTCTTCATACATTTCATTTGTGTAACAAAAACCACCATGTTTGCGCACAACCTCATCCACGCTGCCTATCAAATTTTTAACTTGCTGCTCTTGACGATAACCAGAAAGTTTATTGTTAAAAGGGATATACCGGTGGTCACAAAGATTGAGAATTGCCTTAAGTGACTGGGGACAATTTTTGACGTAATCCCTAATGTCTACATTTTCATCTTCAAGATCGTCTGCTCTTGTGAAAACAACCATTAGGTAATTGTACATTCCAATTCCAAAATGATCAACAAAATGTTTAACCGTATCTTGTTCTTCCTTGGTAAATCGACCAACGTTGACCGTAAGCAAAATAGCATGTGGTCCTGGCGCAGTCATTCCTATACATTTTACTATTTCCTTTGTAACTTGCTCATTTGTCATTCCTGTATCATATAGTCCTGGAGTATCCACAACCACGATTTTGCGGTCGAATCTTGTGTTCATTCCAAGCTGGCATTTGTTTGTAATAGAGGCTCCGCATACTTTAGATTCAAATTCACGTTTGCCTAAGATTGTATTTCCGGTGGCGCTTTTACCTGTCCCCGTTTTGCCAATTATTACAATTCGCAATTCAGTTGAATCTATCACTCCACTAAACTTTGGTCTCTCAGTTGCGTCTAAAATAAATATAAGTCGATTTTTATATACTGTGTACTATTTCAAACCAATTCGACAAACTTGTGTCGTACATAAATCAAAATTGGTTACCACGATCATTTTGATTGGACAAAGCCACGATTTTAACGGCATACATTTTACGATTAACGGGCCTCAATGATTTAAAAATGTATAAGTTATAATATTACGGTGTTTCTTACATTTGAATAAGAACTGAGATAACAATAGTTTATTTGAATATTTGCACGCATCAGTTCCAGATTATAAACATAGTATCTTTGATGAGTTTTTTTTTAATAATTTGAGTTTGGGTATCGATTCAAAGAAATGTTTCACGAAGAAAAAAAACCAACAAAAAAAAAACCCAAACAACATGAAATTATTATGCTGCGTTCACACGTAATTCGAATTCGATTCGCATTAACTAATTCGAATTAGTTTAATTCGCATTCGAAACGTTTGATGCTGAGTTCACACGTAATTCGAATTCGATTCGCATTAACTAATTCGAATTAGTTTAATTCGCATTAGAAAATTTTACGTCCTAACGTCAATTCTAATTCGAATTGCAATGCGCGTCAATTTCGATTTACTGTCCGAACGACGTTATCTTTTAATTCGTATTAACAAAAACGTATTTCTAATGCGAATTGGATAATTCAAATTAGCCAATTCGAATCAATTCGAATTAAAAAAGAAGAGTGTGTGAACACGATTAGCGAATTCGATTCGCATTCGATTCGAATTCAATTCGAATTAAATGTACGTGTGAACGAGGCATAAGTCTGGTATCTTTGATGTTTTCGACCAACGTTAAATGTTTTAACCTGGGGTTATAATTTCTATTTGTATAACTGTTATAAAAAATGTACTTTCATAACCAACCAAATTTTACAGAGTTAATTGGAAAATATATGCAGAACAAAATAATGAAAACCAACGTCTGTATGATTGCCTATACTATCCAACAAAAGACCCAATGGTTATGATATACAACTTTGTGAATTACCTCTGTTTAGATAATCAGGAATATTTACTGGTCCTGTAGCACTAGCGTCACGTGAACTGGTACATATCCCGCATATTTGATCGTTTCCTTTGTTATTGTACGAGCATACAGGACAGTTCCATCCTAAAATTAATGGAAAGATACAGTTGACTTTCATTTCAAAACTGTTATCTCAAAGTAAAATATAATTCCCCATTGTATAATTCTTACTCTAGATTTCTCCAAATTCCTGTTTTCTCAGTTCAGTTAGACCGATAAACTTTGAGATAACGATAGTCGACTATATAAAGAAAACTTACCAACAAATAAAATTGTGTTGCCAGCAAGTGTTTGTACATTTATTTTCATTATCATTTTTGATCACACAAGAGAATGTAATGTTTAACAAACAAATAAGTGACAAATGACCTAACATACCACTGATAGCTGTATTCTCTAAATATGGTGACTCAGTGTCTGCAGATGATGGTTTTGTATTCAAACAAACCTCACATGTACGATTAGAGGCTTTATTTACTAAAGTACAAACACAGCATTCCCATTCACTACAAAATAACAAGGTATGTTAAATCAGTAGTATTACTTGCACAAGACATTGTCATTAATTGTTTTTTTTTCTCTCCATCTATCTTAACTCTTAGGCGTATATCGAAGTCCTTGGTTACAGACAGACACATTCATATAAATTGGAATGAACAATAGAAAAGGAATGTGACAAAGGATGCATCTTCAGATAATTTGCAATTGGTTTACGCTTTCTTTGTATTTTTGCCAAGGCCATTCACTGACGTTGCAGTTGTCACACTAATAGTATCGCTCATACGAAATCTGAGGCCTGTCCTAAGATCATCTTAGAACATATCTTTGTCCTGAGTTGGTGTACCGTGTATAGAACGTGTCGCAATTTCGGATTTTTCCTAGGAATTATTCTATATTAAACACTAAGAAATGCCCTTTTTGAACACATATGTACTGAAAATAATAACTTTAATAATTTAAATGAAGAAGAAAAAAATCATTATTTACTGAATTAATCCATCAACGCACTTACAAACAAATAAGTTAGGATTCTTCTTGAAAAGTCATTAGAACTGAGGGCAGGGGACTCTTAACAGCTTGTTTGTTTTTATAAATTTTGATGCTGTTTTTATTGTGTTTGTTTGATATGTACGTATATATGTTTATTGTGTTAATACATGTTGGTCACAAACTGTAAAGTTTATACGACAATAAAATATTTGATTTGATTTGATTTGAAAATTATATTAAGTTTAGGACTCAAAATTAAGACGTGCAAGTGTCCTAACTTCAGAATATGTTTCATGATACTAAGTTAATATCTACAACCCTCATTTTAGGTAGCAAAATAAGTAAAAAGAAAATATCAGAAATAAACAGAAATAGAAAATAATGGCCCCGAGGTCATATATTATAGGACTACTTGTAGGATATCGGTTAGAACATCATATGCAAAATAATCATTAGAGAACGTCAATGTGCATGCTCAGGCATGTCCCAGTACAGTCCAAATTCCACCCTAAACCATGTCCTAAGATACGTCTTAAGTCAGACCCTAGGACTCCCTCGATAAACAGGCCCCTGTCGTATACACGCCATCAAGTTACATTGACATTTATTTACATTCACGACCTTAATTGTCTTTTGGTCTCACTGAAATGTATATATATGCATAAACAAAACCATACTATGACGTTGTGTAATCATCTAAATGCCACTGTAAAAAGTCACTAGTAGATGTCATTAGTTTTTAACTTCTCCAACAACGTACGCTTAAAACAAATAAATGAACATATCTGAATCAATTACCATTATCAGGCAAGCAATAGAAACTTATAAATTACTTATGTGTACTAGTATTGAGGAAACAAATATAGGATAAAAGAAAGCAGAATAAAACCTTACCGTTCCATGGTTAAGTATTTATCAATTTATCAAATGAACATATTGTGTGTATAGATAAGATAAGATAAGATATATACATCATACGAATTATGGTTTATTTATAGTATTCGGAAAACCAACTTATCATACCTATTTTTAGATTTATACAAGGAAACTTTCTTTCCTGCAAAATTGGACGTGTTATGTATCAATATTGATGATCAAACCGGACAGCTTGTAAGTAAGAATATTTATTACACTATATGATGAAAATGCATGCAATAATAATACAGTTTTGATTTGGTTTTAAAATATGTTGTATGGAAAGTGGTAAATATACATAATAATAAATCTTCAATAGAAGCAAGCATGCGTCGTCACTCAATATAGATCAATATAGCCTCTTGCTATGATTAACAACCTTTTACGTTTATTCCAATCAGAATATATTTAGAGTATCTGTATATATATAATTGTATTCGAAAGACGCGTCATGATGGTTTGCACTAAAATTAGAACTTTGGAATTTGAAAAATATATTTTTAGAATAGATTTCCTTCCAATTGTTCACTTTCTAGATTACCGGTTTGGGAAGTAGAAAACAATACAAAAAAAAAACAAACAAACAAAAACAAAAAAAACCCTACAATGATGCAAACGTAAAATTATCGATTTGCATGATTGTTTTGCATGACTTTAGCAATATGTAATAAGGTAGAATATTATATTAACTTGTTTCTTTCTTTATTTGTAGTTTTTTAGGGGTTATATATCAAACTGATGATTTGAAGATAAGTGGTTTTTATACGACCGCAAAAAAATTTTGTGGTCGTATATTGGTATGACGTTGGCGTCGTCGTCGTCGTCGTCGTCGTCGTCGTCGTCCGGCGTCGTCGTCCGAATACATATTGGTTTTCGCACTCTAACTTTAGTTTAAGTGAATGGATCTTTTTGAAATTTGACCATAAGGTTAAATACCACAAAAGGAAGGTTGGGATTGATTTTGGGGTTATGGTACCAACAGTTAAGGAATTAGGGGCCAAAAAGGGGCCAAAAATGAGCATTTTCTAGTTTCCAGACAATAACTGTGGAACGGTGTATGGATCTCTCTGAAATTATACTACAAGTTTCCATACCACAAAGGGATGGTTAAGATTTGCTTTGGGGGGTTATGGCTCAAACCGTTTAGGAATTAGGGGCAAAAAAGGCGGAAAAACAAGGTTGTCCTGGTTAATGGACAAATACTTTAGTACAAAACATAATTTAAAGCAGTGTACGGGAGATAAATCAAATACATCATTGAAATTATCTCCCTTACACTGCTTTTAAATTATGTATAAAGTAATGGTTAATGAACAATAAAGATAATCTAAAACAGTGTAAGGGAGGTAATCCAAATACAACGTTTTGGTTACTTCCCTTACACTGCTTTTAAATTATGTTTAAAGAAATGCATATTTATAAAGGAAGACCAGTAAAAATATCTGCAAATGTTTTCATCTTTTTTTTTACAAAAAAATCCATATGAAAGATTTGACACTATATTTTTATTAATTCTATTATAAAATAGATTAAGTTAGCAATATGGTAAATTTAAATGGGTAATTATGGTTGCCAACTCCATTGGAAATTTGAATTGAGATAATGACCATATCTTGAGGGAAAGAATTTTTTGGGGGAAAAAAGGGGGGGGGGGGGGATAAAAAGAAATTGTGGGGGGCCAATTTTTTCTCATTTCAGATTTCAGAAATTAAAAAGAATTATTCTTCAAATATTATTTTTTTTTCAAATTTCAAATATTGAAAAATTTCAAGAAGTAATCTTTAATTGCACAGTATGGCGCATTAGATTTGTAAAATCTTTGATCACATTTATTTATTTGTTATGCCGAATCTAACAGTGTATTTAGATTTTTAATTTTGGGTCCAGTTTTCAAATTGGTCTACATTAATGTCCAAAGGGTCCAAAATTAAACTTTGTTTGATTTTAGCAAAAATTGAATATATGAGGTTCTTTGATATGCTGAATCTAAACATGTATTTAGATTTTTGATTTTTGGCCCAGTTTTCAAGTTGGTCCAAATTGGGGTCCAAAATTAAACTTTGTTTGATTTCAACAAAAATTGAATATATGGGGTTCTTTGATATGCTGAATCTAACCATGTATTTAGATTTTTTATTTGTGGACCCCGTTATCTAATTGGTTCATATTGAGGTCAAAAGGGTCCAAAATTAAACTTTGTTTGATTTCATCTAAAATTGAATTATTGGGGTTCTTTGATATTCCAAATCTAACCGTGTATTTAGGTTTTTAATTTTGGGTCCTGTTTTTTAAATTGGTCTACATTGAGGTCCAAAGGGTCAAAAATTAAACTTAGTTTGATTTTGACAAAAATTGAATTCTTGGGGTTCTTTGATTTGCTGAATCTAAACATGTGTTTAGATTTTTGATTATGGGCCCAGTTTTCAAGTTGGTCCAAGATAGGGTCCAGTATTTAAACTTTGTTTGATTTCAACAAAAATTGAATATATGGGGTTCTTTGATATGCTGAATCTAAACATGTATTTAGATTTTGATTATGGGCCTAGTTTTCAAGTTGGTCCAAATTGGGGTCCAAAATTAAACTTTGTTTGATTTCAACAAAAATTGAATATATGGGGTTCTTTGATATGCTGAATCTAAACATGTATTTAGATTTTTTATTTGTAGGCCCCGCTATCAAATTGGTTCATATTGAGGTCAAAAGGGTCCAAAATTAAACTTTGTTTGATTTCATCGAAAATTGAATTATTGGGGTTCTTTGATATGCCAAATCTAACCGTGTTATTAGATTTTTAATTTGGGTCCCGTTTTTTAAATTGGTCTTCATTGAGGTCCAAAGGGTCCAAAATTAAACTTAGTTTGATTTTAACAAAAATTGAATTCTTGGGGTTCTTTGATATGCTGAATCTAAACATGTGTTTAGATTTTTGATTATGGGCCCAGTTTTCAAGTTTGTCCAAGTTGGGGTCCAAAATTAAACTTTTTTTGATTTCAACAAAAATTGAATATATGGGGTTCTTTGATATGCTGAATCTAACCATGCATTTAGATTTTTTATTTGTGGGCCCCGCTATCAAATTGGTTCATATTGAGGTCAAAAGGGTCCAAAATTGAACTTTGTTTGATTTCATCAAAAATTGAATTATTGGGGTTCTTTGATATTCCAAATCTAACCGTGTATTTAGATTTTTTATTTTAAGTCCCGTTTTTTTAAATTGGTCTACATTAAGGTCCAAAGGGTCCAAAATTAAACTTAGTTTGATTTTAGCAAAAATTGAATTCTTGGGGTTCTTTGATATGCTGAATCTAAACATGTGTTTAGATTTTTGATTATGGGCCCAGTTTTCAAGTTTGTCCAAGTTGGGGTCCAAAATTAAACTTTGTCTGATTTTAACAAAAATTGAATATATGGGGTTCTTTGATATGCTGAATCTAACCATGTATTTTGATTTTGGACATTGGACCATAATAGGTAAATTAAAAAAATTCAAGTTCTTAGACCACATTCTTTCTGTGTCAGAAACCTATGCTGTGTCAAATATTTAATAACAATCCAAATTCAGAGCTGTATCAAGCTTGAATGTTGTGTCCATACTTGCCCCAACTGTTCAGGGTTCGACCTCTGCGGTCGTATCAAGCTGCGCCCCAGCGAAGCATTTTATTCTGTAATGTTTTATTGGATGTTCTTTTTGTCAACCTTTTGTTAGTCCAATGATCAAGATTAAAAAAATAGTTGAGATATAAAAACAGAGTGCATTCCCGCCATATGTTCAAGTGCTTATCACACTTTATCAGCACCACTAGTCGAGGCTTTCAATTAAAGCCTCGTTGATAAAGCTGAATTGAATTCAAATATTGGGGCTGGGTTAGTATGCGCACCAAATCCATGCAGTATAATCAGTTCGTTGATTGTGGTCATTATCTGGCAGAAGCAGAAGCAAGTTAATCTAAGAACCACTTCATTGGCCGTGTTATGCCATATCTGAGTCTACGGTGTTTTTGTAAGAAAAACTTGTGTTTATTTCAAATCGTTGATAGTTTTTGTTTAATTTATTGTCAGCTGTCCCTATCCAATATACCCTCATTTCCCGTGGCAGTCTAAATTTTCTCCGACCTTAATCCCGGACGCCTCTATTACAGAACCTACCTGTTGTATTTATTGTTAATTTGTTCTCGTCCTGAACATACATGAAATATTTGCCACTGGACGTTAAGCAACCAACAATCAATCCATTATTGTCAGCTAGTATTTAACAAAGGTACATGTAAACGAGGAAGAGATGAATTTGGATTGAAATGCCACCTCGATCACGCCGCGTGCTAGAGTTAGGAACTAAATATCTTCTGTTTAGAAAAGAACGCAGATCCGCCTTGCTAACCAAAAATGTGGATGCATTTTAGGCAGACGAGCTATTTTGTTTATGTATTTTTGCACTTTTGTAATGTAATTTAGTCCTTCAATTAAAGCTAGAGAGCTTTTTAAGATAATGACACGAGCATTTCATTTTAGGTGTTACAAATATTTAAAGACTCCATGCCATATTCGTATTTTCTTTTCTGTGAGAACAATCATGATCTGTAGACAAAATGTTACTTATGCCGCCATTTGCATTGGTCGCCTAGGTTGATCCCTATTCTGTTGTCACTATGGCTTTTATTGTCAATCTTGTATCTTTTGCAAAATTGATTAATTCCCTGGACACTTCCATGTCCATTGTCTAACGTCATATATAGAAAAAGGAAAGAATATTCCAAACGGGCAACCAAAATCCACAAGTCAAGAGAAAAACACCTAGAACACCATGGACAAAAGAAAGACGAATTAAAAAGACAAGCAACAATCGTGAAAACTTTCCACAAAAACTAAAACAATACTGAGACTAAAAGTTCCATAAAATATAATATCAGAAATTGATCTGTTATGCTCATAGGAGTTTTGTCGCCATAAATGGTCATTTATGTTAGGTTCCAGGTCAATCCGGAGACTCTTTCTATTTATTAACTTGTTTATCAATATAGTAACCTTATAACATTATCATATTTATAGCATCTTAGAACTGCACAAACTGTACGTACGGTGACAAATGTTTATGATTGATAGCTCTGTAATATATGTTGAGCCCTAAAATTTGGCCATCGACTTCTCAAATGGAAGACCAAGGTGCTTTTGGTTTCGACACATGTAGCCGTGACGAAGCTGGAGAGCAATATAAAGAGCAGTCAGGTATATCAAATATATTGATAGAGGATAAGAGAATGAAAATATTTATAGTCCCATTAAAGAACCCGTGATGGGCAGTATGAGATCTGTATAACCATATTATAACGGAACTATAAATAACTGTCAAAAAATGGGAGGTTTAGCTAGCTATAAAACCCGGTTTAATCTACCATTTTCTACATAAGGAGATGTCTGTACCAAGTCAGAAATATGACAGTTGTCTTACGTTAATCGTTTGATGTGTTTGAGCTTTTGATTTTGCCATTTGATAAAGGACTTTCCGTTTTGAATTTTCGTTGGAGTTCGTTTTTTTTTGCTATTTTACTTTATACAAACCCATCATACAAGGATTTCGTTAAACATTTTCACATTAGTATGAAGTATAAAAAGTTCATATAATTATAAACCTACATATATTTTTTTGCTCATATAATGCATGTACATTTCATTCTAGACTAGACCAAAACCATTACATCAGATACAATACTCACTATTTTTATGTATATTAATATAAAAATAAGGAGATGTGATATGATTGCCTACCAAAGTTCAAATAAAGTGTATTGCAATTATAGGCAACCGTACGGCCGTCAACAATGAGAAAAACCCATACTGTATAGTCGTCTATTAATTCATATTTCGTCTAACACTTTTTTCATACATTTTCATTGATAAACAATCATATGATTTTTTTCTCATTTGAGAGATCTTAAAAGTTGTGACAAAGTTTTGTTTATCGCTTTGAAAAAAGTAAAATAACAAAAATAACACGAAGGGAAAACAAATGTCATATTCCTGACTTGGATGTGTAGTCATATTGATTTTCAGGTATCTTTGTGTAAGGTCAAGTTTATATTTCTAAATAAAGATTTGTGTAAGATAATATTACTGTCGTAAATCATCATTTATATTGGGAGGTGTGTGAGATTGCCCCCTGTAAGTTCATTCATTGATAGTTCTATTTGTTTGACGTTCGTGGTTAAAGACATTACACTGTCTATTATTGCTCGCTGGTCATACTTGTCAGTTAAAAAGGTTTCAATCATGCTTTCAACTTGAATAGTTAAAATAACCCATGGCTTAAAAATAGAATAAAAAAATAAATAAAATCATTTTGCTTATTTACAGGATGGACGTGCGAATCATGTACATTTTGGAACCAGTGTGATAGTAGATATTGTCAGGCCTGTTATGGAATCAGATTGCCAAATAATCATCATGATAGTATGGATGCTGAACTTTCTTATGATGATGAAATTCTCGGTGAGTACTTTTTACGAATAAGAAACAGTTTTATTCATGCGAAGCACAACATAAGTCATCCTTAACGAATTGTGATGTGACGTTCTGCAAACTTTTTACGTTGAGATTAAAGAAATTAGCACAAAAAGGCCCATAGTTGGCTCAAAATTTAGTGCAAATCTACGTCACAACACAAAATCTTAAATACGCCCTTACATGACCTACACGTAGCTAATATGTGTCTCGGAAATAAAAACAAATTTCACGTAAGTAGCAAAGCATGACAAAGTTAGAATATTTGTACATGTTGTAATATAAAATAAAGAATGAAACGGGGAATGTGTCAAAGAGACAACAACCCGACCAAAGAGCAGAAAACAGCCCAAGGCCACCAATAGGTCTTCAACGCAGCGAGAAAATCCCAAACCTGGAGGCAGGCTTCAGCTGTCCCCTAAACAATAATGTATCATACATTGGATGTTGGGTGTGTACTGATTGATATTTTAGTCTTAGATGCATGATTTTTTTATTAGTTGTTATTTACGTTGAACTAGTTGTCAGTAACTGCGAGTACTCTCAGATCTGAACTTAGTGTCTTTTTGTTGTGGGGATGTATAAGTACCCTGCCACGTCCACTCTGTGTTTTTGTTAGATGTTGAGTGGGGTGCTCATTTTCGCCATAATTTTCCATGTTTTCTGCAGTTTATGTTCAGACCTTTAAGTTTTTGAAGTATACTGATATTTCTATATGAAGATAACATCAAAAGCAAAATATTCTTAGCTTGAAAACGTGTTTCTCTGAAAAAAAAATCATCTGAAAAGTTAGATTAAAGGCTATTTGAAATTTCCTGATGTTTTGTCATAGGGGGACACATATTCGCCGTTTTTACACATCTATTTAAAACCAAATAACTGCAGCTTTAAACAATATTTATCAAATAAATTTCATTATAGATGAATAGCAGACATTTCAAAGGTGTAAAGAACTGAAATTTAGGGCAATCAGTCAAAGAATTACTATAAGAGAAAATTCTTTGAAATCTTTTTTTTTCATTCAGGAAATTGGCCGAAAATCGTTGTCCGTTTTTCGGTCCTTTGCGGTAAGTGCCGAAATTTGTTCTAAGTTTAAAAAATGATCATATTTGTTATAAAAATATAATTTACCGGCATATTTCTTCCATTTCAGCAATTCTTTGAAGTTTCTACACCTCAAAATCATAAAACGGCGAAATTGTGTCCCCGGCCAATATGTGCGCCCCACTCTATTTCTATTTGTATCCATCTGATGAGTTAAGCCCTTTTCAACTGATTTTTATACGACCGCAAACAAATTTTGTGGTCGTATATTGGTATGACGTTGGCGTCGTCGTCGTCGTCGTCGTCGTCGTCGTCGTCCGGCGTCGTCGTCCGAAGACACATTGGTTTTCGCACTCTAACTTTAGTTTAAGTGAATGGATCTTTTTGAAATTTGACCATAAGGTTAAATACCACAAAAGGAAGGTTGGGATTGATTTTGGGGGTTATGGTACCAACAGTTAAGGAATTAGGGGCCAAAAAGGGGCCAAAAATAAGCATTTTCTAGTTTCCAGACAATAACTGTGGAACGGTGTATGGATCTCTCTGAAATTATACTACAAGTTTCCATACCACAAAGGGATGGTTAGGATTTGCTTTGGGGGGTTATGGCTCAAACCGTTTAGGAATTAGGGCAAAAAAGGGGGAAAAACAGGGTTGTCCTGGTTAATGGACAAATACTTTAGTACAAAACATAATTTAAAGCAGTGTAAGGGAGATAAATCAAATACATCATTGAAATTATCTCCCTTACACTGCTTTTAAATTATGTATAAAGTAATGGTTAATGAACAATAAAGATAATTTAAAACAGTGTAAGGGAGGTAATCCAAATACAACGTTTTGGTTACTTCCCTTACACTGCTTTTAAATTATGTTTAAAGAAATGCATATTTATAAAGGAAGACCAGTAAAAATATCTGCAAATGTTGCATCTTTTTTTTTACAAAAAAATCCATATGAAAGATTTGACACTATATTTTTAATTCTATTATAAAATAGATTAAGTTAGCACTATGATAAATTTAAATGGGTAATTATGGTTGCCAACTCCATTGGAAATTTGAATTGAGATTATGACCATATCTTGAGGGAAAGAATTTTTTGGGGGAAAAAAAGGGGGGGGGGATAAAAAGAAATTGTGGGGGGTCAATTTTTTCTCATTTCAGATTTCAGAAATTAAAAAGAATTATTCTTCAAAAATTATTTTTTTTTCAAATTTCAAATATTGAAAAATTTCAAGAAGTCTTTAATTGCACAGTATGGCGCATTAGATTTGTAAAATCTTTGATAAATTTATTTATTTGTTATACCGAATCTAACAGTGTATTTAGATTTTTAATTTTGGGTCCAGTTTTCAAATTGGTCTACATTAAGGTCCAAAGGGTCCAAAATTAAACTTTGTTTGATTTTAGCAAAAATTGAATATATGAGGTTCTTTGATATGCTGAATCTAACCATGTATTTAGATTTTTGATTTTTGGCCCAGTTTTCAAGTTGGTCCAAATTGGGGTCCAAAATTAAACTTTGTTTGATTTCATCAAAAATTGAATATATGGGGTTCTTTGATATGCTGAATCTAACCATGTATTTAGATTTTTTATTTGTGGACCCCGTTATCAAATTGGTTCATATTGAGGTCAAAAGGGTCCAAAATTAAACTTTGTTTGATTTCATCAAAAATTGAATTATTGGGGTTCTTTGATATTCCAAATCTAACCGTGTATTTAGATTTTTAATTTTGGGTCCTGTTTTTTAAATTGGTCTACATTAAGGTCCAAAGGGTCCAAAATGAAACTTAGTTTGATTTTAACAAAAATTGAACTCTTGGGGTTCTTTGATATGCTGAATCTAAACATGTGTTTAGATTTTTGATTATGGGCCCAGTTTTCAAGTTGGTCCAAGATAGGGTCCAGTATTTCAACTTTGTTTGATTTCAACAAAAATTGAATATATGAGGTTCTTTGATATGCTGAATCTAACCATGTATTTAGATTTTTTATTTGTGGGCCCCGCTATCAAATTGGTTCATATTGAGGTCAAAAGGGTCCAAAATTAAACTTTGTTTGATTTCATCAAAAATTGAATATATGAGGTTCTTTGATATGCTGAATCTAACCATGTATTTAGATTTTCTATTTGTAGGCCCCGCTTTCAAATTGGTTCATATTGAGGTCAAAAGGGTCCAAAATTAAACTTTGTTTGATTTCATCAAAAATTGAATTATTGGGGTTCTTTGATATGCCAAATCTAACCGTGTTTTTAGATTTTTAATTTGGGTCCCGTTTTTTAAATTGGTCTTCATTGAGGTCCAAAGGGTCCAAAATTAAACTTAGTTTGATTTTAACAAAAATTGAATTCTTGGGGTTCTTTGATATGCTGAATCTAAACATGTGTTTAGATTTTTGATTATGGGCCCCGCTATCAAATTGGTTCATATTGAGGTCAAAAGGGTCCAAAATTGAACTTTGTTTGATTTCATCAAAAATTGAATTATTGGGGTTCTTTGATATTCCAAATCTAACCGTGTATTTAGATTTTTTATTTTAAGTCCCGTTTTTTTAAATTGGTCTACATTAAGGTCCAAAGGGTCCAAAATTAAACTTAGTTTGATTTTAGCAAAAATTGAATTCTTGGGGTTCTTTGATATGCTGAATCTAAACATGTGTTTAGATTTTTGATTATGGGCCCAGTTTTCAAGTTTGTCCAAGTTGGGGTCCAAAATTAAACTTTGTCTGATTTTAACAAAAATTGAATATATGGGGTTCTTTGATATGCTGAATCTAACCATGTATTTTGATTTTGGACATTGGACCATAATAGGTAAATTAAAAAAATTCAAGTTCTTAGACCACATTCTTTCTGTGTCAGAAACCTATGCTGTGTCAAATATTTAATAACAATCCAAATTCAGAGCTGTATCAAGCTTGAATGTTGTGTCCATATTTGCCCCAACTGTTCAGGATTCGACCTCTGCGGTCGTATCAAGCTGCGCCCCAGCGAAGCATTTTATTAAAGTTTGTTCTTATGTTGTACTGTTACACCACTGTCCCAGGTTAGCGGTAGGGTTGGGCGCCCGCTAACATGTTTAACCCCGCCGCATTCTGTATGTGCCTGTCCCAAGTCGGGAGCCTGTAATTCAGTTGTTGTCGTTTGTTTCTGTGTATCATATTTGTTTTTCGTTCATAATTTTGTACATAAGTTAGGCCGTTAGTTTTCTCGTTTGAATTGTCTTACCTTTGTCATTTGGGGGCCTTTTATAGCTGACTATGCGGTATGAGTTTTCTCATTGTTGAAGGCCGTACGATGACCTATAGTTGTTAATTTCTGTGTCATTTGGTCTCTTGTTGAGAGTTGTCTCATTGGCAATCATACCACATCTTCTTATTTTTAAAGTTCAGCGAAAATGGACATCACAGTAAACTCCGAAACGTATAAATGAACCGATACTAAAAAAAGCATACAAGACTGACAAAGGCCAGAGGTTCCTGACTTGCGACAGTCGCAAACATTCGCTGGGGTTGAACATGTTTTGTGATATCTGAACCCTCCTCCTACTTGTTTTATTGCAGCGTTTATGTATTTTGGATTGCAAAATGATAGGCACACCAGAATAACAACTTTAGAATTGTTTTTGGCTATTTTACTGCGGAAACCAAAGAAATAGGTGAAAAAAACTTCACAAAACTCGCATGTCTTTTCAAATTTTCAAATATGGTCATATTGTGACTACATAACTTTGTAAATTTTGTCTTATTCATTTATAGTTCTTGATTTTATGCAATACTAAATTTCATTATCAGTTAATTTGAAGGTGTTTTCAAAACGTCATTTTTTCTTGCCAAAAAAAAAAATAAATAAAAGAAATAAAAAAGATGAAAAAAAATGACCTTAAAGCTTCTGTTTTATTGTGTGAGCATTTAATGCATTTCCATTTCGCCGTCATAGCATATTAACCACCAACACCACCCCTTTTTTTATTGATATCGGTCTATGTTACCCTCATTTCATTGTTACCGAACGAAAAGTTTGGTTGTAACCGTAAATGCAAATGGTAATGACGAAACATACATGATCATACATGGTGAGATGGAGTCCAAACCAGTGTTCAGTTTGCATTTATGTTAGGTTAATGCTATAAAACCTAAAGAGTACCTGTCCAGTGTTATGCACTTCGACGTGGCACTATGATAAAAATATAATATGTTCAAGTTTGTTTTTGAGAGAAAGACTAAGTCAATGCAAAGCAAAGCTCTTCTATTTGTAAAACACAGTCTATTCACAAACGCACACATCAATGTGAAATTTCAGTAATTATTCAATTTAACAGGTCAAATCTTGCTGTGTTACAATATTAGATGTACATATAAGAATCGACATTTAAACTTCACATTTTTATGCCCCCTCCACTAAGTTTTACCCTTGTCCGTCTGTACGTCCATACGTCCGTAAGTCCCGAAATTGGTTTCCGTTCTCTAAGTTTAGTTTACCTCAACTAAATGTTATGAAACTAATACACAATGCTTATTACCACAAAACATAGATGAAGTTTGAATTTGGGTGTCGTCACTTTTACCTTTCTAGAGTTATTCCCTTTACAAATGGAAAAATTGCTGAATTTTTCGTTTCCGTTCTCTAACTTAAGTTTGCCTCCACCAAATGATATGAATCTTATACACATTGCTTATAACCACATAACACAGATCAAGTTTGAATTTGGGTAGCGTCACTTTTACAATTCTAGATTCATGCCCCTTTACAAATGGAAAAATTGCTGAATTTTTCGTTTCCGTTCTTTAACTTAAGATTGCCTCAACCAAATGTTATAAAACGTATACACAATGCTTATTACCACAAAATGCACGAATTTGGGTAGCGTCACTTTTACCGTTCTTGAGTTATGTCCCTTTATAACGTTATATGCAAGCGGGGGAATCATCTGTGTCCCAGGGACACATTCCCCATGTATTTTCTTTTTTTTTAAGTTTGGAAATGTGATGAATGTCAACATACAAATTATGTTGCCGACAAGTACTGTGATATATGCAGTGAATTGCGCCATAATGACATACCAATCACCACATTATCGCAGTTAACACGGCGTTACAAGTCAGCAAAAACAGGTAATGTTTAATTTACTGTATATAACAAGCAGATAATAAAGATAGAACAAAAAAAATACTATTTGCCAGCATGATCACTTCCCTGAACAATGTCGGTGTAGATTTCGAAGACTGCGGCTTTAAACTAATGACCAATGAAAAATTGACCGTTTAAAGTGTCATCTTATTCAGAGTTGACGCAATCTAGCTTTACTATATGTGATGAATACTAAAATATGAATAAAGACAGTAGTATACCGCTGTTCAATAGTCATAAATCGATTAAGGGAAAACAAATCTGGGTCACAAACCAAAACCGAGGGAAACACAATGGTATAGTTTAATGTATGGTACTTTCTATTTAGTTGGTACCAGAAAAAAGTCTTTTAACTCCAATTCTAATCTGTTTTTGAACATAAATTAAATACGTCTCCTTCAGAACAAACTATAAAAAATGAACTTACGCGTCATTGAATTTTAAAATAACTGCCATGTCTTATCTGGTAGGAGAGAATAAACTTAACGGTTCAACTTAAGAACTTTTTAATCTGGAAGAGGTTGCCTTACATATTTTTCCCTTTATTAGTCCCCTACCGACGAAGTCGAAGGGGACATTAGGTTTGCACTCCGTCCGTCTGTCTGTCTGTCCGTCCATCTGTCAGTCCGGCACATCAGTTTTCCAGACTTTTTTTCTTCATGCTTGAAGATATTGATTTGATATGTTGTGTATTGTTTTATCATGACAAGTTACAGGTCAAGGTCAATTTTCACGATTTTAGCTTTTCTCCTTGTTGAGTTAAAGCCCTTTCCCTAGAATTAAATTTTTGACAAAATACTTATTAATTACTAGATTTCTGTTCAAAGGGAAATAACTAATTTTTATACGACCGCAAAAATTAAAAATTTTTTGGTCGTATATTGGTATGACGTTGGCGTCGTCGTCGTCGTCGTCGTCGTCGTCGTCGTCGTCGTCGTCGTCGTCGTCGTCGTCGTCTGGCGTCGTCCGGCGTCGTCCGAAGACACATTGGTTTTCGCACTCTAACTTTAGTTTAAGTGAATGGATCTCCATGAAATTTTACCATAAGGTTCAATACCACAAAAGGAAGGTTGGGATTGATTTTGGGGGTTATGGTACCAACGGTTAAGGAATTAGGGGCCAAAAGGGGCCAAAAATAAGCATTTTTGTAACTTTCAGACAATAACTTGTGTGTAAGTGTATGGATCTCTCTGACATTGTACCACAAGGTTCCATATCACAAAGGGAAGGCTGTAATTGATTTTGGGGGTAATTGCCTCAAAATTTTAGGAATTAGGGGCCAAAAAAGGGGGAAAAAACAAGCATTTTTCTAGTTTCATGACAATAACTTGTGTGTAAGTGTTTGGATATTTCTGAAATTGTACTACAAGGTTTCATATCACAAAGGGAAAGCTGGAATTGAGTTCGGGGGTAATTGCCTGAAACGTTTAGGAATTGGGGGCCAAAAAGGGGCCAAAAATAAGCATTTTTCTAGTTTCAAGACAATAACTTGTGTTCAAGTGTATGGATCTCTCTGAAATTGAACTGCAAGGTACCATACCACAAAGGGAAGGCTGGGATTGAGTTTGGGGGTGATGAATCATAAGGGGGTTCAAAAAATTTTTTTGGGGGGGGGGATTTTTTTTTTTTCTTTTTTTTTCTTTTTTTCCTTTTTTTTTTCTTTTAAAATTTTCCATTTTAAGTTGGTTATTTCTGATTTATATTTAAAAGCAAATAATAATGATATGGTAGGAGATACACACCAAACAGGATGTGTAAATTTTTATATAATAAGTATTGTGCAATAGCAAGAAATTTTCAATTGCACAGTATTGCACAATAGCAAGAAATCTTCAATTGCACAGTATTGCGCAATAGCAAGAAATCTTCAATTGCACAGTATTGCGCAATAGCAAGAAATATCCAATAGCACAATATTGCACAATAGCAAGAAATTGTCAATTGTACAGTATTGCGCAATAGCAAGAAATATTCAATTGCACAGTATTGTGCAAAAGAAGATACTTCTTATAAATTGCTTATTTCTTGATCAATTTCAATGGGGTTTTATTCTTGAAATCTTGGGGTTCTTTAATATGCTGAATATAACCGTGTATTAAGTTTTTGGATTTTGGGCCCCGTTTTTAAATTGGTCCACATTGAGGTCCAAAGGGTTCAAAATTTAAATTTGTTTGATTTCATCAAAAATTGAATTATTGGGGTTCTTTGATATGCCGAATCTAACCGTGTATTTAGATTCTTAATTTTTGGTTCCGTTTTCAAAATAGTCTACATTAAGGTCCAAAGGGTCCAAAATTAAACTTTGTTTGATTTTAGCAAAAATTGAATATATGAGATTCTTTGATATGCTGAATCTAAACATGTATTTAGATTTTTGATTTTTGGCCCAGTTTTCAAGTTGGTCCAAATTGGGGTCCAAAATTAAACTTTGTTTGATTTCAACAAAAATTGAATATATGGGGTTCTTTGATATGCTGAATCTAACCATGTATTTAGATTTTTTATTTGTGGACCCTGTTATCAAATTGGTTCATATTGAGGTCAAAAGGGTCCAAAATTAAAATTTGTTTGATTTCATCTAAAATTGAATTATTGGGGCTCTTTGATATTCCAAATCTAACCGTGTATTTAGATTTTTAATTTTGGGTCTTGTTTTTTAAATAGGTCTACATTTAGGTCCAAAGGGTCCAAAATTAAACTTAGTTTGATTTTAACAAAAATTGAATTCTTGGGGTTCTTTGATATGCTGAATCTAAACATGTGTTTAGATTTTTGATTATGGGCCCAGTTTTCAAGTTGGTCCAAGATAGGGTCCAGTATTTAAACTTTGTTTTATTTCAACAAAAATTGAATATATGGGGTTTTTTGATATGCTGAATCGAAACATGTATTTAGATTTTTGATTATGGGCCCAGTTTTCAAGTTGGTCCAAATTGGGGTCCAAAATTAAACTTTTTTTGATTTCAACAAAAATTGAATATATGAGGTTCTTTGACATGCTGAATCTAACCATGTATTTAGATTTTTTATTTGTAGGCCCCGCTATCAAATTGGTTCATATTGAGGTCAAAAGGGTCCAAAATTAAACTTTGTTTGATTTCATCAAAAATTGAATTATTGGGGTTCTTTGATATGCCAAATCTAACCGTGTTTTTAGATGTTTAATTTGGGTCCCGTTTTTTAAATTGGTCTTCATTGAGGTCCAAAGGGTCCAAAATTAAACTTAGTTTGATTTTAACAAAAATTGAATTCTTGGGGTTCTTTGATATGCTGAATCTAAACATGTGTTTAGATTTTTGATTATGGGCCCAGTTTTCAAGTTGGTCCAAGTTGGGGTCCAAAATTAAACTTTTTTTGATTTCAACAAAAATTGAATATATGGGGTTTTTGATATGCTGAATCTAACCATGAATTTAGATTTTTTATTTGTGGGCCCCGCTATCAAATTGGTTCATATTGAGGTCAAAAGGGTCCAAAATTAAACTTTGTTTGATTTCATCAAAAATTGAATTATTGGGGTTCTTTGATATTCCAAATCTAACCGTGTATTTAGATTTTTAATTTTAAGTCCCGTTTTTTAAATTGGTCTACATTAAGGTCCAAAGGGTCCAAAATTAAACTTAGTTTGATTTTAGCAAAAATTGAATTCTTGGGGTTCTTTGATATGTTGAATCTAAACATGTGTTTAGATTTTTGATTATGGGCCCAGTTTTCAAGTTTGTCCAAGTTGGGGTCCAAAATTAAACTTTGATATGCTGAATCTAACCATGTATTTTGATTTTGGACATTGGACCATAATAGGTAAATTAAAAAAATTCAAGTTCTTAGACCACATTCTTTCTGTGTCAGAAACCTATGCTGTGTCAAATATTTAATAACAATCCAAATTCAGAGCTGTATCAAGCTTGAATGTTGTGTCCATACTTGCCCCAACTGTTCAGGGTTCGACCTCTGCGGTCGTATCAAGCTGCGCCCCAGCGAAGCATTTTATTTAAAAGATATTTTTATTAATGATAAATGACATTTTGGATTTGTTCCCTTTTCTTTGGTAAATTGTTTGAAGAATTTAGTGGTAGGTTTGTTTGTTATTGATTCTGTATAAAATAATTTTCTAAATGCTATATTTTAAAAATTTGTTTGGATGAAGTGAACTCTTTTATTTAGATAATAATCTATTTTTGATAAAGGATTTATTTCATTTAAGAAATAATTCATGGAAGCCATAGGTTTGTTGGAAATTTACACATGGCCTCGGCCATGATATCCAAATTTATCCTGAGTGTTAGCGAGGGATAAAATTAACGAATATCATCGCCCAGGTCATTTGTAAATTCACTAAAATAATCAGTTTTCCACACTTTTTTTTGTCATTCTTGAAGATATTGATTTGATAATAGGTATATAGTTTAATCATGACAAGTTACAGATTAAGTTCGAATTTTGTTCCGGTCTGATGATTTTGTGCAGAGTTATGGTCTTTGGACATAAAAAATTCACTTAAATAATCAGTTTTCAACAGTTTTTTCCGTCATGATTGAAGATTGATTGATTGATTGTTGGTTGCTTAACGTCCAGTGGCAAATATTTCATGCATATTCAGGACGAGAACAAGTTAACAATAAATACAATAGGTAGGTTCTGTAATAGGGGCTTCCGGGATTAAGGTCGGCGAAATTTAGTCTGCTACGGGACATGAGGGTATATTGGATAGGGACAGAAATTTAACCTTGCAACAGGTCACCTACGGACCCCTCAAAGAGTTGTTGCAAGGGTTCTGAACGTAAAAAGAGTGTGGCACTCTCTTTACACGAGGCATCGGATTTAACGTCCCCATTCTGACCGGACGTGGCTGCAAATTTGTACATCCCGCACAGCCAAACGGACGCCTCACTTTAGCAAGGGTTTTACTGCCGGTCGGAGGAAGACCAATGGTGACCATATTTCTATTCCCCAGTCACCCTTGGGGGTTCATGATTGAAGATATTGACTTAATATTTTTATGTCGTTAAATACACCATGACAAGATATAGATCAAGTTAGAATTTCTTTCCATTACAATGAATTTTTAACCGGTAGGGGACTATGTATTGCCATGCAATACTATCAGAATGCTTGTTGTTTATCGAGCTGAACTGATAACTTTCGGGTTGTAAAACTAGCTAGTATTTAAAAGGCTCGTTCAAGATAAGTTATTCATCCTTGATCATCATTTTCCCCCGCGAACGCGTTGAGGGGGACATAGAAATACCGGGCGTCCGTCCATCCATTCGTCCGTCTGTCCATCCGTCCAGTCTTGTTAGCGCTCTCAAGTGTACAGTTATTGCCATATTTTTATGAAACTTATATCATAGGTTAATATCAGCAATGTCTCAGACGAATTTGAAAATTGGTACCGATTAATTATTTTTAAAAGAGGTATGTCCCTTGGAAATATTTATGATATGGAAAATTGCATTGTTAGCGCTCTCATGTGTACAATTCTTGCCAGATTTTTATGAAACTTATATCAAAGGTTTATATGTGCATTGTTTTGGACGAGTTCGACAATCAGTGCCGATCATTTTTTTTAAAAGAGCTATGCTCCTTAGAAACATTAATTATATTGAAAATTGCATCGTTAGCGCTCTCATGTGTACAATTCTTGTCAGAATTTTATGAAAATTATATCATAGGTTAATATAAGCAATGTCTTCGACGAGTTCAAAAATCAGTGCCGATCAATATTTTTAAAAGAGTTATGCCCCTTGGAAATATTGATTATAAGGAAAATTGCATTGTTAGCACTCTCATGTGTACAATTCTTGCCAGAATTTTATGGAACTTAAATCATAGGTTTATATCAGCAATATCTTTGAAGAGTACGAAAAGCAAAGCCGATCATTTTTATACGACCGCAAAAAAATTTTTGTGGTCGTATATTGGTATGACGTTGGCGACGTCGTCGTCGTCGTCGTCCGAAGACACATTAGTTTTCGCACTCTAACTTTAGTTTAAGTAAATGGATCTCAATGAAATTTTACCATAAGGTTCAATACTACAAAAGGAAGGTTGGGATTGATTTTGGGGGTTATGGTACTAACAGTTAAGGAATTAGGGGCCAAAAGGGGCCAAAAATAAGCATTTTTGTAACTTCCAGACATAACTTGTGTGTAAGTGTATGGATTTCTCTGACATTGTACCACAAGGTTACATATCACAAAGGGAAAGCTGGGTTTGAGTTTGGGGGTAATTGCCTCCAAATTTTAGGAAAAAGGGGCCAAAAAGGGGCAAAAAACAAGCATTTTTCTAGTTTCATGACAATAACTTGTGTGTAAGTCTATGGATCTCTCTGAAATTGTATCACAAGGTTCCATATCACAAAGGGAATGCTGGGGTTGATTTTGGGGTTAATTGCCTCCAATTTTTAGGAATAAGGGGCAAAAAAAGGGGCAAAAAACAAGCATTTTTCTAGTTTCATAACAATAACTTGTGTGTAAGTGTATGGATCTTTATGAAATTGTAATACAAGGTTCCATATCACACAGGGAAAGCTGGAATTGAGTTTTGGGGTAATTGCCCAAAAAGTTAAGGAATTAGGGGCCAAAAAGGGGCCAAAAAACTCATTTTTCTAGTTTCCAGACAATAACTTGTGTTCAAGTGTATGGATCTCTCTGAAATTGTACTGCAAGGTACCATATCACAAAGGGAAAGCTGGGTTTGAGTTTGGGGGTAATTCCCTCAAAATGTTAGTAATTAGGGGCCATAAAAGGGCAAAAAAACAAGCATTTTTCTAGTTTCAGGACAATAACTTGTGTGTAAGTGTATGGATCTTTATGAAATTGTACTGCAAGGTTCCATATCACAAAGGGAAAGCTGGGTTTGAGTTTGGGGGTAATTGCCTTAAACGTTTAGGAATTTAGGGCCAAAAAGGGGCCACAAAACAAGCATTTTTCTAGTTTCCAGACAATAACTTGTGTTCAAGTGTATGGATCTCTCTGAAATTATGCTGCAAGGTACCATACTACAAAGGGAAGGCTGGGATTGATTTTGGGGGTAATTCCCTCAAAATTTCAGTAGTTAGGGGCCATAAAAGGGCAAAAAACAAGCATTATTCTAGTTTCAGGACAATAACTTGTGTGTAAGTGTATGGATCTTTATGAAATTGTACTGCAAGGTTCCATATCACAAAGGGAAAGCTGGGTTTGAGTTTGGGGGTAATTGCCCATAACGTTTAGGAATTTGGGGCCAAAAAGGGGCCAAAAAAACAAGCATTTTTCTAGTTTCCAGACAATAACTTGTGTTCAAGTGTATGGATCTCTCTGAAATTGTGCTGCAAGGTACCATACCACAAAGGAAAGGCTGGGATTGTGTTTGGGGGTGATGAATCATAAGGGGGTTCAAAAAATTTGAGGGGAATTTTTTTTTCCTTTTTTTTCTTTAAAATTTACCATTTTAAATTGGTTATTTCTGATTTATATATAAAAGCAAATAATAATGATATGGTTTGAATAGGTAAATTAAAATTTTTTAAGTTCTTAGACCACTTTCATTCTGTGTCAGAAACCTATGCTGTGTCAAATATTTAATTACAATCCAAATTCAGTGCTGTATCAAGCTTGAATGTTGTGTCCATACTTGCCCCAACTGTTCAGGGTTCGACCTCTGCGGTCGTATCAAGCTGCGCCCCAGCGGAGCATTTTATTTTAAAAAGAGTTATGCCCCTGACAAACATTAATTATATTGAAAATTGCATCGTTAGCGCTCTCATGTGTACAATACTTGTCAGAATTTTATGAAAATTATATCATAGGTTAATATATCATCAATGTCTCAGACGAATTTGAAAATTGGTGCCGATCAATTATTTTTAAAAGAGTTATGCCCCTTGGAGATATTGATTATATGGAAAATTGGATTGTTAGCACTCTCATATGTACAATTCTTGCTAGATTTTTATGAAATTTATATTATAGGTTTATATATCATCAATGTCTCAGACAAATTTGAAAATTAGTGCCGATCAATTATTTTAAAAAGAGTTATGCCCCTTGGAAATATTGATTATATGGAAAAATGCATTGCTAGCACTCTCATGTATACAATTCTTGCTAAATTTCATCAATGTCTTAGACAAATTTGAAAATTGGTGCCGATCAATTATTTGTAAAAAAGTTATGCCCCTTGGAGATATTGCTTATATGGAAAATTGCATTGTTAGCACTCTCATATGTACAATTCTTGCTAGATTTTTATGAACTTTATATTATAAACCGATCAATTATTTTAGAAAGAGTTATGCCCCTTGGAAATATTGATTATATGGAAAATTGCATTGTTAGCACTCTCATGTGTACAATTCTTTCTAGATTTTTATGAAATTTATATCATAGGTTTATATCAGCATTGTCTTCGACGACTTCGAAAATTAGTGCCGATCAATATTTTTAAAAGAGTTATGCCCCTTGGAAAAATTAATAATAACGGAAATTGCATTGCATTTGCTCTGAAGCCTTCATTTCTCTAAGATATTTATAATTTGTTTTAAAGAACAAAAACAAGTGTTTTTTTTTAGTTATTTTAGTTATTGCCCTTGGGTTGACAAAATATGTGCAACGCGGGGGACACTGGAACTCTGTTCTTTTATTAGTCCCCTACCGACGAAGTCGAAGGGGACTTTAGGTTTGCACTCCGTCCGTCCGTCTGTCTGTCTGTCTGTCTGTCTGTCCGTCAGTCCGGCAAATCAGTTTTCCACACTTTATTCTTCATGCTTGAAGATATTGATATGATATTTGGTGTATTATTTTATCATGACAAGTTACAGATCAAGTTCGAATTTTGTTCCGGTCTGATGATTTTGTGCAGAGTAATGGTCCTTTTACTCAGAAAATTCACTAAAATAATCAGTTTTCCGCACTTTTTTTTTGTCATTCTTGAAAATATTAATTTGATAATTGGGATTGCTATTGGGATATCGTGACAACACCGCCTGCACTGTGTCTAGCGCTCTAGACCACTCGACCACCTAGACTGAACTAAAAATTCAGCTTTCGTAAAGGATCGTAAGATGCAGTCACAGAAATTATTATTTAATAAGTACGTCTAAACAAGTGACAGCTCTACGACAGATCCATCCTTTGGATCACTAGTGAAGGTGTTACACGGCTGAAAACACATATTATATTCATAATTACCCTAAATATCAGCACAACAATGTTAAACCTGCAAATTTGCGGAAGCAAGCAAATTTTGTTCTTCCCTCGCAGGGATTCGAATTCATGCTAATAACATGAGTTCGAATCCCGTCGAGCGAAGAACAAATTTGCAGATTTAACATTGTTGTGCTGATATTTAGAGTAATTATGAATATAATATGTGTTTTCAGCCGTGTATCACCTTCACTGGATGGATTTGTCGTACAGTTGTCATTTATTTAGACGTACTTATCAAATAATTATTTCTATGCCTGCATCTTACGATCTTTTACGACAGATAATTTAGCTAATCTGCAATCAATTCCATCTTCATGCCTAATATATCATGTACTGTGTTACAACTCTAGATTCTACTGACGAGGAAAGGTAACACTAGGCCACCGAAAGCTGAATTTTTAGTTCAGGCTAGGCAGCCGAGTGGTCTAGAGCGCTGGACACAGTGCAGGCGGTGTTGTCACGATATCCAAATAGCATGAGTTCGAATCCCGGAGAGGTAAGAACAAAAATTTGCTTCCGCAACTTTGCAGATTTAACATTGTTGTGCTGATATTTAGAGTAATTATGAATATAATATGTGTTTTCAGCCGTGTATCGCCTTCACTGGTGATCCAATAGATGGATCTGTCGTAGAGTTGTCACTTGTTTAGAAGTACTTATATATATATATATATATATATGTAGTACACATACAGCTGCACATTTTTTGTAATCTCGAGCAGTTGCTGTAGTAAATTCAAAACAAAAAGCGAAATGCTGTTAAGTACAAACATAACATACTTAGTATGATTGATTAATTGTTGTTTGGTTAGCGTTGTCTTTCATATGGCACAGCAGATATGGAACACGGCTCATTTTGGGAGAAGCACAAATTATGTAAAATTGGTGATGCGTAATTAAACTAAGAGTGATTGCAAAATTGAAAAAAAAAATGCAGATGGAGTAATAAAAAATCGCAAGCCGATGAGAAACAAACATTATCATAGCAAACCAAAAAAAAGAAAAGACAAAATAATTGTCCTTAAATCACCACACAGAAGATTGAGCACCAATAACCGTATTCGAACGTAGCTTAATCAAAAGGGTGAGTAGTTGACGTTCCACAACGGCTAATGGCAAGTACAACTCGCATTCCTAGATATCTCTCACTATGACAAATAAAGTTATGGTATATTTGTAATTATATGGCGTTTGTTATATGATTTCATAATTTCAGATTGCAAGTATATCGAGAAAAACTCCCCTCTTGCAAATATGGAAGAAGATGCTGCAAGACGAATCTTGCTCATTGGTAAAACTGGGTCCGGTAAAAGTGCAACTGGTAATAATATTCTAAATAAGAAAACATTCCATTCTGCTGTTTCTGGTGTGTCTGTCACCGAGAAATGCCAGGTATCACAAGCGAAAAGATTTGGAAGAATGATAACAGTCGTAGATACTCCAGGACTTTTTGATACTCGATTTACTAATGAAAATATCTCAAATGAATTAGTAAAATGTACAGAAATGATTTTACCCGGGCCACATGCTGTTGTACTTGTAACAAGGATAGGCAGATTCACTAAGGAAGAACAAGATACTGTTCAATATTTTGTCGATCATTTTGGGGAGGGCATATTTAGATATATGATTATTCTTTTTACAAGAAAAGATGATCTTGAGAAAGATAATGTCCCCCTTGACCAGTTCATAGTTGATTCAACTCCTGAGCTGAAATCATTACTGCATAAATGTAATAACCGCTATATTGCCTTTGATAACAGTTCAGACAATGCATCGAAAGAAAAACAGTGCGGAGAGTTAATTCTCTTGATTAATGAAATGCTACAGGAAAATGATGGACATTTCTTTACGAACGAAATGCTGTTGGTGGCAGAAAGTAATTTACAAATAAGGCTAGTGCGAATAGCTGAGGAAGAAGAGGAAAAGCAAAATGAGGAAATAAATAGAATAAAACGTAAAGAAAGGAGGAAGATAAGAAAGGAATTAGATAGCAAAATAATAGAAACAGATGAACTTTACTGTTTGAAACTGACAAACGAATGGGAGACTGAGGATAAGAAATTTGAAAGAAGGAATTTAGAAAGAGAAAAAGAACGTCTTGAGAATGAATTGAAAGAAGCTAAAAAAAAATTGAACAATTAAATTTTATTTGATATCAGTTTACTAAAATAGTGTCATTTCTTTAAAAAAAAAGCATGTTGCTTTGTATTTTTTTTTCGTGGACAGAGGATACATTATACGAGAAATTTTTTTTGAAATTGAATGACTGCATGTTATAGAATGTGATTTACTACCTACCATTTTGCTAAGACAGTTTACACATATGTCAAGTAGTATTGACTTTTTGATGACAACTTTACAATGGTGTGTCAATATGTTCTGCTTACTGTTCTAAATATAATTCAACTAAACATATTATTTTGTTGTTTTTATCTACTATACTCTTTATAAAAAATAGTCCTCAATCTGAACTTTAAAAAGAATGATCAGTGGTTGTACACATAACGTCAGAGTACCCATATTGCACCTATTTTGCAAAAAAAAAAAAAAAAAAAAAAAGAAGCCGGGGAAATCAAACAAGTTTTCTTAGAGACTAGATATTTTTTATTTTTATAATTCGTCATTATGCACATCTTTCAACATAGCGAGATATATATTTAGATATACACAACTAGGTCATATTGTATATCAACAGATTGATGAGGTATTCCGAGAAAAAAGTAAAATTTACTAAAACGTCGCATGCGAGGTCAACTTTTAAAAGGAGCAATTAAAATATGTCCAAGGCAAAATGAATATTATGCATGGACTAATGGCATTTTGTTCTAAATATGTGGAGAAAAAAAAAAACCCTCAATTATTCGATTTTTACGGATGTGAATTTAAGCATAGATGCAATTTATAGGTACTTCCCAATGCAGAATCTTGGGTCGTTTGGAGGTCGGTTCAAATTCAATTTTCTATAATTCAGTACGGATTCAAAATTAAATTTGTGAAACTATATAGTAATTAAGGATACATCTACAAAATAGGCACAAAATGAAAAGTTGTGTCTGGATCTTAATAAAACGTAGGTGAATGAACTGTACAAATATGGGTAATTTGGGTACCCTCACGTTATGTTGTTTTCGCATGACAATGCAATTTACTTTTGACTTTTAACTTGGAAATCTATGTGACGTTCTGTTTACAACTTAATTAATGACTAATTTTTCATGCCGTGATCTGTGCGTGAAGTTGACAGCCAGTCAACAAATGTTCCATGGAACATGCAGATAATGAAGGTAATTTCTCACAATTTGCCTTTTTTGTTGTTGATTTCTGTGTATACATGCTAAGTTTTGTTAGTTCTCCTTCGTTAGTCTTCCATATTATATCCTGGCATCTTGTAATAGACCTGCATATGATGAATGCTTAAATCTTTCAGATAACTTGTTATTTTAAGCTCTTATCATAACTTAAGTGTTCATTACGAAAATTATGTGTTACAGACCTACTTTTTTTTTATAGTTACCAGAGTGATATTTTTTTTGCTGTAGTTTGTGCTCTTTTTCCTTTGACCATCACGTTATCGGTCCGTACTCGTACGTGTATGAAGAAAAAGCTTGAAGGGTATGCGCCAATAACACAGCAACCCAACTCTACAAATAACTATCAAAAGACGTATTGTGATCGACATACAATTTTCAACAATAAACAGGTACATCTGTATGTATACAATATAGGGATGTCAACGAGTACTCGAGTACTCGAGTATCGCTCGGTACTACCGAGTATCGAATACCAAAATGATACTCGACTAATCGGTTTCTGTTAGAATGTTGTTGCCTTCTTAAAGAAGTAATATTTTTATTAAGAGCGCCTCCCTGGAAATTAAATATTAATCAAAATTAAAATACGTTTCGAATGTTTGCGTTTAATTGTCATTTAAAATTCCTCCGAACATAGGAAGGCTATGAACAAAAGCACCTTTCCAAGGCTTACACTTTAAGCTTATCGTGTCTTAGTCATTCCATCACCTCTGTACCGTCAGAACAAATATTTTCATTAGCAGGACTTTTAGTTGTGTAACAAAGCTGAGAATTCGACTCGTCACAGAAAAAGCTGACAGGATAATATTCTAAATAAGAACAAATTCGTTGACCCTGTGTCTACCCTCGGGTTAAAGGCATCAGTAAGTTCTAATCATCACCCCTTTGGTGATAATTAAATGTGTTTTTTTTTACGATTCCCAAATACTATTGTTTGAGTAATCATTTTTCTATTGATTTTTATTAATTAATTGATTAGATCATTGCCAGTTTACATAATTAGTATATTTAGTAAATGAGCTATTTATTATGGTATAAAATTCCTGGGACTATTATCTAGTCCTTGGTAATAATGTTGAGGGTTTTACGTTCATAAGACAACGTCCCACAATACGTAAAATGGGTATAATTTTGTATTTACATTTTGTAGATGTTTTTCCGAGCGAGTACTCGAGTATCGCTCGGTAAATCCTACGAGAACTCGATTAGTAAATCTTCACCGAGTTGACATCCCTAATACAATATAACAAACTGTGAATCGTATGGTATCTAAAATTTATAAATATATTAAACAGACGATACCAAAGATTGGCCATCAGAACCAACTTCGGTGAATAAGAAGCGTAAACACATGAATTCAGCAAACCACATGCGAGTTAGCGGACTTTGGACAGGGACATGCGTTTGATACGGGGTTTAAATAGTATTTTGTTTTAGATCCAGACCCTCCCACTTTTGCTGGTTATGACGAATACAAAAACCGGCTTACAGTATGGTGATTTTAAGTGAATGGAAAGTTGTAGTAAAGGTGCTTTTTATTTTGTTCAATTATCTCCACATGAAGTTTCAACTTGGATCCATGGAAACATTGCGCATGAATACTTGCGAATAAAGCAAGTTTGTGGAGTGACCAAGCCAATAAATTTTCAACTTTAATGGACCACCCTACTTGCAGGCTAAATTATGATTTTTCGTTTAAAGAAATTTTTAAACTTTAATTTATGCCTGGTCGTAGAATCGAAAAATGGTGCATTTAAAAAAAAAATGACCACAATAAGGCTAAATAGATAGAACCAATTGTGCCCTCTTCTTGCCGACTTGTTTCTTTATTATTATAAGTCAGCAATATCCTTTAACTCTTCGTTCCGCTATATAGATGATGTTCTCTCACTAAATAATACAAAATTTGGTGACTATGTTGAACGAATCTATCCCATCGAACTAGAGATAAAGGATACTACAGATACAGTTAAGTCTGCTTCATATCTTGACTTACATCTACAAATTGACAATGAGGGTCGGTTGAAAACAAAACTTTACGACAAAAGAGATGATTTCAGCTTCCCAATTGTGAACTTTCCATTTCTATGTAGCAACATTCCAGCAGCGCCTGCATACGGAGTATCATATATCTCCCAATTGATACGATATTCCCGGGCTTGTTTTTCCTATCATGATTTCCTTGATAGAGGATTGCTGCTCACAATGAAGCTATTAAACCAAGAGTTCCAAATGGTGAAGGTGAAATCATCCCTTCGTAAATTTTACGGACGCCATCACGAGTTGCTTGACCGTTATGGAATAACCGTTTCACAGATGATATCGGATATGTTCCTTATGTCGTAACTACCCAACCCTTCCCTTTTCACGAATGTGACCTACCGAATTAGACTATTTACCGGATTTGTAATAACACAAGCAACACGACGGGTGCCACATGTGGAGCAGGATCTGCTTACCCTTCCGGAGCACCTGAGATCACCCCTAGTTTTTGGTGGGGTTCGTGTTGCTTAGTCTTTAGTTTTCTATGTTGTGCCATTTGTTCTATTATTTGTCTGTTTGTCTTTTTATTTTTTGCCATGGCGTTGTCAGTTTGTTTTCGATCTATGAGTTTGACTGTCCCTCTGGTATCTTTCTCCCTCTTTTATAGTTTTACAATATGAACAAGCACTCAAACTCTTCATTAAATGCCAAATCAGAAGTTTGAGGACTATAAAAAAGAAAGAAACGTAAGATATTTTGTCAAGTACATTTTGAATGAAAAAATCCATATGTCTTTTTCTTTCCATTTTATGAAAAACTGCACCGCAGGAAATGGCTACGACCGGGCAAAAAAGTAAGATTAGGGTATTGGCTTTGCAAAAATATAATTTTTGGCCTGCAGTTATGCCGATCCATTAAAGTCGTAAAATAAGCACCTTTTCCTTGATTTGTCACACCACTATGTCTCCATGCATACATAATTAATACTCTAAATGATAGCGTGCCTTTGCATTGAAAAACCCCTTGTTTGCTCCTCTTGGCGATCGAAACATCGACTTCCCGCTTTTGAAGTTACAGATTAATGAAAATGCGGATGCCTTTTCAGGCAACTGTATCAAACAAGTAATACATGCATAATCACAAATACCAATCGTACAAATGTAGATATGGAATTATATAAAACAGTCAGTCACCTTCTATCAAATAGAAATTTAATAAGGTCAAACATTACAATGGTTAATAATTATTTAGAGAAAATTGGAAAATGGCGAATAATTTTGTATGAATTTACTAAATGGAATACATCTGTTGCCTGACATTTACACTATTGAATGATCAGCTTTTTTGAAGTGAGAGCGTTGCGAGCATACGCATTACGGTCTGTACATGTATGGTTGGAACAAACACGCAGTAGTGTAATGAAGGTAAGTAGATGTCTCAAAATAAATTCCAGACAAATGAAAATCAATGAAATTTCAATATATAGTAATATTTGAATGACGAATTGTATAATATTTCTGTCTTGGAAAAATATTAGTTTTAAGTGTTTTTGCTCGTCTAAGTAATAACAAGTTGGCCAACTATGGCTTTCGTCTAATCTTCACCTTTAGGCAATTAGAAAATAAATGTCGAACACTTAAATACATGTATTCATAAATTATTGCGACGTTTTTATTATTGAGATAGCTGCAACGGAATATGTTTGGCAAAAATAAAAAATAAACTCGCATTTTAAATTTATATGTTCATTTGTATGTACTATATCCTGAATTCATTTCGTGTTTGTGTCCATTGTCAATTTCTCATTTTAATAATTTTGGATATTAACTTTTGATGAAGACCATGATTGTGAATCTATAAAGTTATCTTTTGTTAACAGATATGTATCTTAGAATGTTAAAAGATTATTGTTGTAGCAAGAATAAGGTTAAAATATAACTACAGGATACGATCATTATTTACATGTAATAACGGGATGGTATTGTCATAAACAGTCTTACATAAGGAGGTCTGCTGTAATTGCCAATGAGTCAATTATCCACCAGAATACGAAAAATTTAGCAACCATAGATCACTGTACAGCAATCAACAATGAGAAAACCCTATATCGTATAGTCGGCT